GCATGCAGCCTCCGTCAGTTAACTGTAATCTTACCTGGTCTGTAGGGCGAGTGTTTGTCATAATAATCACTTGACATGCAGCATCTGTCAGTTAACTGTAACCTTACCTGGTCTATACAGCCAGTGTTTGTCGTAACAATCACTTGACATGCAGCGTCTGTCAGTGAACTGTAAGCTTACATGGATTGTAGGGCGAGTGTTTGTTATAACAATCACTTGACATGCAGTTTCTGTCAGTTAACTGTAACCTTACTTGGTCTGTAGGGCCAGTGTTTGTTATAAACATCATTTGACATGCAGTGTCTGTCAGTTAACTGTAAGCTTACTTGGTAGGTAGAGCCAGTGTTTTCTATAAACATCACTTGACACGCAGCGTCTGTCAGTTGACTGTAACCTTACCTGGTCTGTAGGGCCAGTCTTTGTCATAAGCATCACTTGACATGCAGCATCTGTCAGTTAACTGTAACCTAACTTGGTCTGTAGGGCCAGTGTTTGTTATAACTACTAATTGACATGCAGCATCTGTCGATTAACTGTAACCTTACCTGCTCTGTACAGCCAGTCTTTTTCATAACAATCACTTGACATGCAGTCTGTTAGTTAACTGTAACCTTACCTGGTCTGTAGGGCCAGTCTTTGTCATAACAATCACTTGACATGCAGCCTCTGTCAGGTAACTGTAAGCTTACCTGGTCTTTAGGGCCAGCGTTTGTTATAAGCATCACTTGACATGCAGCATCTGTCAGTTAACTGTAACCTAACTTGGTCTGTAGGGCCAGTGTTTGTTATAACTACTAATTGACATGCAGCATCTGTCGATTAACTGTAACCTTACCTGCTCTGTACAGCCAGTCTTTTTCATAACAATCACTTTACATGCAGAGTCTGTTAGTTAACTGTAAGCTTACATGGTCTGTACGGCCAGTGTTTGTCATAACAATCACTTGACCAGTTGACATGCAGTCTCTGTCAGTTAACTGTAATCTTACCTGGTCTGTATGACAGACAGAAGAAAGATAATATGCACTGGTCTTTTTGTCACTGGATCATGAGTTCAATAGCAAACAAGCATTCTGAGAGTATTGCATGGCAATACATAATCCCCTACCGGTTAAAAATTCATTGTACTGGAACAAAATGCTATCTTGATCTATAACTTGTCATGGTGTAAACTGTATAACAAATATCAAGTCGATGTCTTCAAGTATGGCGAAAAAAGTGTGGAAAACTGATTATTAGTGAATTTTCTAAGGCCAAGGACCAAAACCCTGCACAAAATCATCAGACCAAAACAAAATTCGAACTTGATCTGTAACTTGTCATGATAAAACTATATACCAATTATCAAATCAATATCTTCAAACATGACGAAAAAAAGTGTGGAAAACTTATTATTTGAATGAATTTTCTGTCCAAGGATCATAACTCTGCACAAAACCATCAGACTGGAACAAAATTCAAACTTGATCTGTAACTAGTCATGATAAAACAAAACACCAAATATCAAATCAATATCTTCAAGCACGAAGAAAAAAAGTGTCATAAACTGATTTGCCGGACTGGCGGATGGACAGACAGACAGACAGACAGACAGACAGATGGACAAGGTGCAAACCTAAAGTCCTATTCGACTTCGTTGGTAGGGGACTAATAAACTGTTGACACCGAGATATGTCTAGCCTTTTTGTAAATGTTGAAATTAAAATAGTAATATTCAAACATGTATACTATGCAAAACATTCAAAGTCAATGAACCATGACTGAATGTGCAATAATAACCTCGATGGTTATGAGAATGCTTATAAACTATGAAAAAGTTTCCAAGTCAATGAACCATGATGAGGGGAAGGGGCTGTATAATATCCATGGAAATGAGACTTACAAATATTAATACAACTACATCCCAAATATCATCGACTTTACATTAGTGTTTCATCTTAAACTAATCTAATCACAAACTTTAACATGTAAACTATGCATAACATACCGTCAAAATACCATGACTGAGGAGGAGGAATCAAATAATCTCGATGGATATGAGATGTGCCAATGCTAATGCATCTTCATACCAAATATCATTGACCTACCACTAGAGGTTCACCTTAAACTAACCTAATCACATACTTATACAAGTAAACTAAGCAAAAGTTTCTAAGACAATAGACCATGACTGAGGGGCGTGGTAAAAAATCTCCATGGAAATGAGATGTGCCTATGCTAAAACAACTGCACACTAAATATCATTTACATACCACTAGTGGTTCCCCATAAATTGACATAATCACAAACTAATGCTTTGTTGACAATGGTGCTGGTAACAGCATGCCTTAGTATTGCATTTTCGACTTCCTCAAGGCGGGAAAATTAAGGCAAAAACCGGAAAATACTACAGTTTATGCTTCTAGTATGAGACAAGACACATTAATAATGCCAAGGTGAAACATGTTATGAGCACTGAACTTTCTCAAAGTAAGGTATTTCTTTTGTAACCAGAACATGATGTAATCATTAGTAAAGATTGACTAAAAGAACTTAAGGATGTTCACTCCTTTTGTTTTAGATTTTTTGCCAGATATATCTGGTTTTATCCATGTAGTGCCATTAAAAATTTTGCCCACTAACCCATACTTTTCTTTTCATAACTTTATTACATATAGTTTAAAAAGCCATATTTGAAAATCGTATAGAATCCTTGTTATTTTTTCATTGCTTTTGAAAGAAAAAAGGTGCCAATGTTAAATGTATGAAAAATCTCGAGAGAATCATTTCCCGCCAAATTTTCAATGGCTTATATCTTGAAAATAAGCACCTTCATTTTTTTCTGCTTTTTTAGTTCATTTATATACTATCGATTTATAACAGTCTTTTAAATAGCTTGTTATTTTGAAACAGAGTAGCGAACATCCTTAATTGATTTTTGATTGTATTTTCTCTCATGAATTATTTCATGGACTCACAGCTATTCAGAGCTTGACTTATTGTATGGACACCTGCCTTTTATTGGCGACTGTGTCTTTTTGGTTATATGTGTTTCTTGGTTACTGTTTTACTGATAAATACCCAACTTGTTCTTTGATTTCTACAATGTAACAGATCAGTACTTAAAATAACCTACATTATAAGAAGAGAAAACAAGAAATAAGCTGTCAAATTGACAGCAAAACTGGTTTTCTGCATTTTGAAGGCACTTTCATGCTTGTGTGACCTGGGATGTTCTATGCCTATTTTCAAATCTATCAAGGACCATAAATCCTGAATTGCAAAAATTAAAATTATCAATTTCAAAATTGACCTCCATTTGCCATCAGTAACAACATATTAAAATTTGAAAGGCATTGGTTAAACGGTTCATACCTTATTGCATGGAAACCATATACAGTGACATTTTCCAACCTATCAAAGACAATAACTCCTGAACAGTAGACGTAAAAATCATCAATATCAAACTTGACCTCCATTTTGTAAATCAATAACAACATATTAAAATTTGAAAAGCATTGGTGAAATGGTTCATAAGATATTGCACAGAAACTGTTGGCTTCTGCCTGCTGTACTTTACCATTTTAATAATCAGATTTTTCCCAAATTTAATAAATAATCAAGCCAAATGTCATTTTAATAAATGGGGAATGTGTCCATGGGACACAGATGATGCCCCCGCTTGTATATAATGTTATAAAGGGACATAACTCAAGAACTGTAAAATTGACGCTACCCACATTTGTACTTGATCTGATTTTGTGGTAATAAGCATTGTTTATAGGTTTCATAACATTTAGTTGAGGCAAACTTAAGTTAGAGAATGGAAACGAAAATTTCAGCAATTTTTCCATTTGTAAAGGGGCATAACTCTAGAACGGTAAAAGTGACGCCACCAAAATACTGTCGACGATCAAATGAAATAAATACAACGGCGACTCTGAACATCCTCGGATTTAACATTCAAAACTATACAAACGGGAAACTGAGCGTCTGTTTAAGTTATCATTTTACTATGATTTTCATCTGAGCCTGAGGATGTTTTTGCGTAATCACTCGACTCTCAGCTGATTTGCTTTATTTTTATTTCTTACAAGTCAATCAGTTGTACTATTTGGTAGGTTAAGGGTAGGAATTAACTGTAGATTTTTTATATTAATTGAATAAAAATTGAAATATAAAAGGTAGAATGACAGCTGATGGATAATGTGATTGCAAACGTACAACACATGGCCAGCTTGTGATCAGCAGTGGACTTTTTTCATGACCAATTCATTAATAAGGAATTAGCTTTCCATTTGTAAAGGGGCATAACTCTAGAAGGGTAAAAGTGACGCCAACAAATTCCCAACATGATCTGTGTTTTTAGTAATTGGCATTGTGCATAAGTTCCATAACATTGGGTTGAGGCAAACTAAAGTTAGAGAACAGAAACGAACATTTCAGCAATTTTTCCATATGTAAAGGGGCATAACTCTAGAACGGTAAAAGTGACGCCACCAAAATTCAAACTTGATCTGCGTTTTGTGATAATAAGCATTGTGTAAAAGTTTCATAACATTTGGTTGAGGCAAACTAAAGTTAGAGAACGGAAACCAATTTTGGGACGTACGTACAGACATACAAGGGTAAAACTTAAGGCCCCCTACGCTACCGCGTGGGGCATAAAAAAGAGGGGTCCATGTACTTGTTTTTCAAGCTTTTGATTAAAATCAGTTAAAAAATGAATCTTTTCCAAATATGTCACAGTTTAACGTCATGAAAAATAGCATTTTACTTAAGCAACGTCATTAACCTCCTCTGTAACAGTATTGTATGCCCTTAATTGTACTTTTGGCATATCTTCCTGTGAATTTCAAAAGCTAGTAATGGAAATATAGACAGTTTGTTATTTTTACAACAATATAAACAAGTAATAAACTCATAGTGGTAGTTTATTATTTATACCTCACCTTTAATAAAATGCATATACTAAAGCAAGGCCAAGCGAAAGTTAAAATTACTTTAAGAAATTAAAAACATTATTTCATAAATAATTTATTACATTATGACTTCATAAATACTATAATCTCAGTCTGCAGCAAATTTTCTGGCTCCAAGTTTCAATCCACCACGAGCCTTTCGTGCCTCTCTCTTTTGTTGAAGTTCTTTTTGTCGTTGCAACCTTTTTTCTTCCCTATTTCCTACATCACTTTTAGTTGAATCTGAAACAAAATAAAATAAATGTGGATAGTGTCCACATGTGCACACAGATAATGCCCCTGCTTGCATATCATATAGTTATAAAGGGACATAACTGAAGAACGGTTAAAGTGACGCTACCCAAATTTAATCTTGATCTGAGTTTTATGGTAATAAGCATTGTGTGTAAGTCTCATAACATTTGGTTGAGGCTAACTTAAGTAGAGAACAGAAACTAAAAATTCAGCAATTTTTCTATTTGTAAATACGCATAACTCTAGGAAGGTTGTGTATAAGTTTTATAAAATTTGTTGAGACAAACTAAAGTTTGAGAACGGAAACGAAAAATTCAGCAATTTTTATATTTATAAAGGGACATAACTCAAGAATGGTAAAAGGGTCCCCACCAAATTTCGTACTTAATCTGTATTATGTAGTAATAAGCATTGTGTATAAGTTTCATAACATTTGGTTGAGGCAAACTCAAGTTAGACAACGGAAACAAAAAATGTGTACTTGATCTTAGTTTTGTGGTAATGAATATTGTGTATAGGTTTCATAATGTTTGGTTGGGGCAAACTTAAGTTACAGAATGGAAACTAAAATTTTGCAATCTTTCGATTTATAAAGGGGCATAACTCAATAATGGTTAAAGTGACATTACCCAAATTCAACTTGATCTGTGTTTTATCAGTGGAAGTCAAAATTAAACATTGCATTGTATAAAGCATTGATTGTAGTTGATTCAACTATAATCATGGACAAAGGAAGATAACTCCAATTTGAAAAATAACTTGATATTTCGAAGAAAATAAAAATTTTGCAATTTTTCCATTTATAAAGGGGCATAACTCTAGAACGGTTAAAGTGATGCCACCAAAATTCAGACTTGATCTGTGTTTTGTGGTAAAAAGCATTGTGTATAAGTTTCATAACATTTGGTTGAGGAAAACTTAATTTAGAGAAAGGAAACTAAAAATTTTGCAATTTTTCCAATTATAAAGGGGCATAACTCTAGAACGGTTAAAGTGACGCCACCAAAATTCAAACTTGATCTGTGTTTTGTGGTAATAAGCATTGTGTACAAGTTCCATAACATTTGGTTGAGGCAAACTCAAGTTAGAGAACGGAAACCAATTTTGGGACGTACAGATGTACGTACGTACGTACGTACAGACGGACAAGGGTAAAACTTAATGCCCCCACCGCTACGGCGGGGGCATAAAAATCTGCATGTAGAAACATTTTCTTCAATGGTTATTTTTTGTTTTCAGCAAAATGATGGCTCAAATTCCCATAATTTTGCATTTGCTATATCTGCTGGAACCCTTGTGCCGATCTGAATATTTTAATTGATATAAACCATTTTTAGGGTGTCTACTTATGAATTGTGTTAGACTAATAGTCTGCTAAAAATATTGAATCAGTTCTTTATTTCCATTTTTTTCGGTATTTGACAGTTCAAATCTACTGAAAGCATACAACCACATCAATGATGTTAACAGTCTTTCCTTCTTATCAAATTATGCCTGTATATTTGCCTTTTTCAATATAGTTGGGTTTTATTTTACAAATCAGATCAACTTTTTTTTATCATGGCTACACAACTAGTTTAGACAAATAAAAACAAGAGATCATACATTGAAGAATTGCAATAATATAGGCCTGCATTGAATTCTAAATTTACAGTAGAATAGTGCCACATCATGCCCTTTTTCCGGATACAACATGCCCCTTTTAGTGAAACGGCACCGTTATCAACTTCAAATTATCAGCAACATATTAATATCCAACAATAATGAAAGATTAATTAATATGATTCCTGTACATGTTCTGCTTGAATGATATACGTGGGCTACCTGTGAAAGAACATCTCAGATATTTAAGAGATAACTGTAATGTATTTGAAGCTTTGCAGATGTCCATTGGTTGATTTACTGTCACAAATTTAGTTTACCTGGCTACGCATAGTGGAGACAGGTAAACGGATATTTGCGACAGTAAAACTACCGATGGATGTCCGCAAAGCTTCAAATGCAATACAGTTATCTCTATTTTAATGGAAAATAAATACATAATTCAATTTTAGTCATTATTTCAGTGTAAACTTTTCATTTAACGAAAATTCCATGAAATGATGTTATCTTCTTTGGCCCCTAAACTGTGTGACGTCATAGGTATGCTTCCAGCATCAAACGTAAACACAGGGCCTTTTCTGGCTTCTTATTGGAGAAATTACATGTCAATACATTCAGGATTTAAGATGTCGGCTTCCTTAGTTACAGACAGGGAGATAGAGAATTTAACACTGACTTTCATCCAATCAGAACCATTGATACAAAATAATTGCATTAGAAATAAATTTAATGTAACTGAATTCTCCTTTTTGTTGTTGTTTTTTTTAAATCCTGTATACCTGTATACTGACTAAGTAAAATTGTGCATATGTGAAAATACTGACAAAAAAAAATTATGAAGGATTTTGGATTACTAGTATTGACCTATTTATTGATTTTTCTACTGCATAAATCGTTTTTTTTTTTTTTTTTTGCTATCCTTATTCTTACCATTAAATGAACCCCATCCACTGTCCTCCCAGCCTCCACCTGAATCTTCCCATGATGCACTATCACTGTTTGCTTTTACACTAGATTGTTTACTATTAGAAGTCACTGATGTCACAGATTTGTTTGTTACTTTAGTATCACTCCATGAATCATCCTCCCACCCTGTGTCTTCTACATCCCAACCTTCAGATTTGTCTTGACTAGAGTTTATATTGCTGGTTACCCTTGCTGGACTTGATCCAGAACTTCCAGCAGCTGGGGCTGGACTCAACCTAGAATTGCCACTAGAAGCACTGGCTGTTGATTTCGAAAGATTTGTTGGCTTTTTCTTAAAAAAGTAAAAGTATTTAGTAAATATACACTGTAACTTATTTTATACTATTATCCATAGAAATTTGAACAAAGTGAAAAATAATGTTATTCCACTCATTATATTACTCAAATACTTATTAAAAATAAAACAAAATTTAACATAATTTTATGCCACTAATTACAGTATTTAAATATCCATTGAAATTAAACTCTCTGACTCAGGCCTTACAGGCCAAATGGTGAACATTGACAGTCTACATCTATTGTAAAGATCACTTCAGTTTATTTATATTCAATGAAAATTCATCTTGTTGATGTTCTGCCCATGTATAGGAGCTGACTTGAGGTAAATACTTACCGGTACTGTAGTTAAACCCATTGCTGAGGCAAAGAGATCAACTTGATGATGTTCTCCCCAGGTAAAGGAGCTGGCATGAGGTAAATACTTACTGTAGGTAAACCCATTGCCGAAGCAGAGAAGTCATCTTGTTGAGGTTCTCCCCAGGTAAAGGAGCTGGCTTGAGGCAAATACTTACTGCAGTTAAACCCATTGCCGAGGCAAAGAAATCATCTTGTTGATGTTCTCCCCAGGTAAAGGTTCTTACTTGATGTAAATACTTACTGTAGGTAAACCCATTGCTGAAGCAAAGAAGTCATCTTGTTGAGGTTCTCCCCAGGTATAGGAGCTGGCTTGAGGTAAACCACTATCTTCAGTTGACAGAAATTCATCTTCAGTATTCCTGTCTGATTTCTGTGGTTTATGCTCTAGTTTTAATGCATGAGATCCACTGGGAGCTGGCTTCTGTCATAATATATTTTGACATTAAATTTGTTATCCGTCCATTTAACTTGCTCTCTTACTATATTATTACCCGGTATTATTAAAAAATTTACATTTCTTCATATTTCCATTAAATTAAAATGTATTCAGCACTATTAGTTGTGGTTAAAGGCAGTTTGATACAAAAATGCAAATTTTACATGTTTTTGTTGAATTTTACAGTGAAAGACATTTCTAACCAAAATGAATTAATTTGTATCAATATATAGCTTTACATCCAACATAATTTGGGTTTTGGTTAAGAGTGTCCGTCCTTCCTATATGTTTTTTTAGATAGATACTCCAAAATTTGCCAAAATTGCAGTTTAAGACTATTTCATGCTTTTAAATTTGGTCATCTCTTTAGAAGTACGCCACAATATTGTTGGATTCTCAAAGTAAGTTGTGATACTCCAAACTATGTAAAGATTGATAGACTTTTTAAAAAGGCCCTGTTGTGAAATAAATTCAGGGGAAATTGGCCCTACTTCTTCAATAATAACAGGTGGAAGAAACTTAGCAAGGAAAAGAGAAATATTTCTGTACAAAATTTTGAGAGATACAGAAAACCTAGCCTTTTGCTGTAGCTGTATTTGAGTTCATTATACTGGAACAAAATGCTAACTTGTTCTATAACTTATCATGGTGTAAACAAAAAGAAAATATCAAGTCAATATCTTCAAGCATGACTAAAAACAGTGTGGAAAAATGAATATATGAGTGAATTTTTTCAAGTCCAAGGACCATAACTCTGCACAAAATTATCAGACCGAACAAAAATTTGAACTTGATCTGTAACTTGTCATGATAAAACTATATACCAATTGTCAATCAATATCTTCAAGCATGATGAAAAAAAGTGTGGAAAACCTATAACACTCTAACATTAGATATGATTAATAGTTCTCTAAAATCAGATATGATGTCATACAATGTATATCTATTTTCAAATTACAATCAAATATAATTTATAGTTCCAAATATTTTTTCTTTCATTTGTCACAAACTAATATAGATTTGTAACTTATCTATAAAATGTCAACAACTTTTATCTACACAATGTAATGTAATGAAATATATACCTTAATAAAAATAGATTATTATGTAATTAAAGGATTTCACTTAATAAAAAAAAAAATATATATATATACATGTAGCATTTAGAAAATTAGTTTATACAAAATAACATATAAACCTGCCACAAAATTCCTCAAACAATTTACCAAAGAATGTCTTTTAAAAAATGAGTTATCTTCCTTTGTACAGATATACTGTTCGGTGTGAGCCAAGGCTCCGTGTTGAAGACCGTACTGTGACCTAAATGGTTTACTTTTATAAATTTTGACTTGGATGGAGAGTTGTCTCATTCGCACTCATACCACATCTTTTTATATCTATATATGGTTTAACATAGTACTCTAACATTAGTTATGGAGTTTTTTATGGACCATAACTCTGGACTAAATCATCAGACTGGAACAAAATTCGAACTTAATCTATAACTTGTCATGATAAAACTATATACCAAATATCAAATCAATATCTTCAAGAACTAAGAAAAAAGTGTGGAAAAACTGAGTTGCCGGACTGACAGATGGACAGACTGACAGAGTGCAAACCTAAAGTCCCCTTCGACTTCGTCGGTAGGGGATAAAATTATCAGTCTATATATTTTGTTTGATAATGATTTTGTCAATTTAGAAATCAGCATTCATGTGATCTCTATTCAATTCCTTCACATTTGTTTAGACATGGGGTGACTTGTCATATGTTGACAACTGTATCATTGACAACCATATATTGACCTCTAAATTCGTGGGTCATTAAACTCTTTAATGTTTAACTCAAACTCCCAAAATTCTTTTATTCAGATTCTTACAGCATTATTCAGAATTTTCAAGCCCTACAAGTGATCAAAATTCTTTAAATGAGTTCAAAGTGTATCCGTTTCAAATCTAATGACATTTTGTTGTTTACTAAAACCTTGTTTAAGTTCCAAAAATTTGAAAACTAAACAAGCATTCTAAGAGTATTGCATGGCAAATGCATAGTCCCCTACCAGTTAAAAATTAATTGTACTGGAACAAAATGCTAACTTGATCTATAACTTGTCATGGTGTAAAGTTGTAAACTATATAACAAATATCAAGTCAATATCTTCAAGCATGACGAAAAAAAGTGTGGAAAACTGATTATTTAAGTGAATTTTCTAAGTCCAAGGACCATAACTCTGCACAAAATCATCAGACTAGAACAAAATTCGAACTTGGTCTGTAACTTGTCATGATAAAACTATATACCTATTATCAAATCAATATCTTCAAGCATGACGAAAAAAAGAGCGGAAAACTGAATATTTGAGTGAATTTTCTAAGTCCAAGGACCATAACTCTGCACAAAATTATCAGACCCGAACAAAATTCGAACTTGATCTGAAACTTGTCATGATAAAACAATATACAAAATATCAAATCAATATCTTCAAGCACGAAGAAAAAAAGTGTGGAAAACTGATTTGCCGGACTGACTGACGGATGGACAGACAGACAGACAGACGGATGGAGTGCAAACCTAAAGTCCCCTTCGACCTTGTCGGTAGGGGACTAAAAATGCAATATTCTCTAGAAAAAAATAATAAGGTTTAAAATGGAAACCTACATATTGCATTTGAGATGGTGTCTCCTCTAGACTTCCCCAGTTGTCATCATCATCACCATTGTCCCACCCAGAGTTATCACCACTGACACCAATAGTGGCTGTTGTAGATGTAACTGCTGGACTGGAAACAGGACTTGTCTGAAAATATAAAGTACAGTTGTCTTTATTCATTGCTCAAGGGATGATACCATATTGAAATATGATGGTCTTCCGATTAACTTAAAGCTCTTGATCTACAGATGCATCTTACTTGTTTAACTGCAAAACATTTCAATAAAAAATATTTGATCCTTGATATGCATAGTCAACTTATGAATTAATTTTACCATTATAATACATGTACTAATAATTTTTGTAAATTTGACCAAATTTATTGTGATTCCTAATAAGAGGCAATAATAACATTAACAGATCTTCCAGAGTGATTGCATTGTTATGATAGATGCTACATTTTTAATAATCCTTAGAAAATTGTAATTACTATAATAAAATTAAATCAGCACTCTCTATATATACATTCAACATTTTAACAAACACTGCTATCCTTAAATTTGAATTCAAGTTATGGACTTACAACCTTTTAAAAGCCTTAATGATAAATTGTTTTGTCAGGTCTTCAATCTTCTGTTAATGTTGTAAAAAAAATTATTTCCTTACCAATTATTCATTTTATAATTTTGTATGGGAATTTTCTAATAGTGAAATAGATATAGAAAGTTTATTTTTCAAAAAGAGAAATAACTAGCTTTCACAATACTCTTATGTTTTTTTATCATGAAGTTTCACACAAACCAAAAATAACTATATTCAAGAAAATGGCAGGCATTTTGTTGGAACACAGTTATCTCCCTTTCATATTTTTTGATTTTCAAAGCAAACTTTAAAAAATCTATTCAACTGATTTCCAAACAATATACTGTGAAAGGATAATTAATAATTATGGCTAATGAACGAAAATAATATATCAAATCTTTTATTTTAAAATCACAATTGTTAATCATCTTCATCTGATTTAAATCCACGGTAAATCAATTGAAATCAAAGTAGATTGGAATCAAAGTAGTGGTATAGAAAATTGGAGATTATTCTGTTGCTATTTTATGTAATGAAACAAGTTTGAATTAAGATGTAGTATTTAATTACATCAATATCACCCCAATCTTCATCATCCCATCCTGCCCCTTCATCTGCTTCCACTGGCTCAGTAAGATTAGTTTGAACTGGTTCCGGTTCTGATTTAGTTTGAACTGTAGGTTTGGTTAATTCTGCAGTAGAACTTTGTGCTGTTCCTGATAATGAAGGATTTTCACCTGCTAAAAGATTGATTTGCTATCTTGAAATGACAAGCATCATTACTTTTTATAATCCTCTACTGGATTTATCTGAATATATTTCTGTTGGTACATAAAATAAAGCTACCCTTATTCAGCAGTTCAAAATTCTCTGGATGATGATGATGATGATGGATTGTGGTTAAACATTCAGTATCAAATATTACATGCATTATAGGATGTCATTATGTAAATGTGATATGAATATGAACCCATCTTTGTATTAGACCAACACACTTAGTCCGATTTTAAAAGTGTGAGTTCACCAGGTAACAGTCCACAGGAAGGCATGTCTCCCTACCCAGAACCATTATTCTGACTCACAAGTCTTTGCACTTACCTCTAATTGCCATGTGCATAGTGGAGAATCAGCAGATGTCAATGTTCAAGTCTTTAATTTTACCCAAGTGGGGATCAAACACAGGACCTCATGCAAACTAGGTGAGCACAATACCAAGAAACCACTGAGGTGGAAATAGTGAATGAAAGATTGACCCTAAGTAAGGAGACAAGCTCAAGTTTGCCCTATAAGCTTAGGATAACAGTGTCATGAAAATTTTGCTATGTTTTTCACAGTCCAAATACCATTAAGACACATTACAAATACAAATATTTAATCTGCAACATTAATTGTTTACTTCTGATATAAACCAGCATGTTTTTAATCTATTTTAGATTTTAAAAGAAAATATCATGAACTTCTAGAAAAGAGAGGTGTGAGATACCAAAGGGACATTCAAACTCATTTGTAAAAATAAATTGACAATGCCTTGGCAAAAAAAGAATTGAATAAAAAAAAAACCAAACAACAGTATACAAAACACAACATAAATAACCAAAGACAGAAAAATATGTAGAACAAGAATGTGTCCATAGTACATGGATGCCCCACTCGCACTATCATTTTCTATGTTCAGTGGACCGTGAAATTGGGGTCAAAACTCTAATTTGGCATTAAAATTAGAAAGATCATATCATAGGGAACATGTGTACTAAGTTTCAAGTTGATTGGACTTCAACTTCATCAAAAACTACCTTGACCAAAAACTTTTAACCAAAAACTTTAACCTGAAGCGGGACAGACGGACGGACGAACAAACGGACGAACGAACGAACGCACAGACCAAAAAAAACATAATGCCCCTAGGTGGGGCATAAAAATACAGTAAACTATAGCATTCTTAACCACTACTGGTTGTATAAATGGTTCTCAAGTTATTTTTTACCTTGTGGATTTTTAGCTCTAGCTTTGCTGTATATTTTAGAAGTTAAGGAGGAAACACCAGTAACAGCCCAACCAGCCCATCCTGCTGCAATACTTGATGGTGAACCACCAGACATTACATCCTTTTCTGCAAAAATAATATATACATGTATATGAAATATAGTATCATTCAATCATGATTACTTACAGACTTATGTCAGAATAGTTAGCTACAAAACTGATATTTATAATCAATTCAGTTAGACACATAATACATTATCAATATAAACAAGTACTGTATTTAAGTGTGTATAGAACACGGATTTTTACCCTGGGATAGATTTCCAAGAAGGGGGGTGTGTATTATACATGTATTCATTGATTTTTAGACTTTTTTCAGGTATGAAACTCGGCCATGAAACCAGGTAGTCAGGAAGAAAGTATTTTCGTACCAAAAAAAAAATAAACTGCTTCGCTGAGAGCAGCTGGATACGCCCGCAGAGGTCCAACCCTGAACAGTTTGGGCAAAAATGGACACAATATTCAAGCTTGATACAGGTCTGAATTTGGATTATAATTAAATATTTGACATATTATAATCTTGTGAATAAATGTAGTCAAAGAACTTGAAATTGGTTATATGAATTGAATTTATATTCAATTAAAGATTTCTTGCTGTTGTGCAATACACTGTGCTGTTGCGCAATACTTAGTAAATCTGTTGTCAGACTATAAACAAATAAAGTTCAATTAATTCTCAATGTCATATTAGAAATTTATGAAAATGTAAAGGGAGCTTACATCAATAGATATAAACAATTCACCAAAGTTTCATGAGAATTGCTGACAGCATTTTTGAGTTATTGTCCGAAAACTGGAAAATTCCCCCTTTTTTAATGAATAAAACCCCATAACTCAGAAATGATAAATGAAAAATTTATAAAATTCTAAATGGAGTTTACATCAATAGAAATAAACAATTCACCAAAGTTTCATAAGAACTTCTGAAGTCATTGTCCGAAAACTGCTGAAAGCATTTTTGATTTTTTGTCGGAAAACTGGAAAATCCCCCTTTTTTATGAATAAAACCCTGTAACTTACAAATGTAAAATCTAAAATATATGAAAATCGAAAGGGAGCTGATGTCAATAGATATAAACAATTCACCACAATTTCTTGCAAGTTGGTGAAAGCATTCTTGAGTTATTGTCTGAAAACTGGGAAAATCCCCCTTTTTTTAATGAATAAAACCCCATAACTCGGAAACATAAAATCTAAAATTTATAAAAAACGAAAGGGAGCTCACGTCAATAGATATAAACAATTCACCAAAGTTCGGACGGACAGACAGACATAAAATGGTATACCATAATTTTGTCCCGTAAAGGGGCGTATAAAAATGATTGTTGTTATGTTTTAAATGTATATTTGTACCTTCTAGCGTATGATTTGTAATGTTATATGCAAATAAAATGCTTCGCTGGGGCGCAGCTTGATACGACCGCAGAGGTCGAACCCTGAACAGTTGGGGCAAGTATGGACACAACATTCAAGCTTGATAAAGCTCTGAATTTGGATTGTGATTAAATATTTGACACAGCATAGGTTTCTGATACAGAATGAATGTGGTCTAAGAACTTAAAAAATTTTAATTTACCTATTCAAACCATATCATTATTATTTGCTTTTATAAAAAAAAGGGAAAAAAGGAAACCCCCCCCCACAAATTTTAGAACCCCCTTATGGCTCACCACCCCAAAACTCAATAATAGCCTTCCCTTTGTGGTATGGTACCTTGCAGTACAATTTCAGAGAGATCCATACACTTGAACACAAGTTATTGTCTGGAAACTAGAAAAATGCTTGTTTTTTGGCCCCAAATTCCTAAACGTTTAGGGCAATAACTCCAAAACTCAAACCCAGCTTTCCCTTTGTGATATGGAACCTTGTAGTACAATTTCATAAAGATCCATACACTTACACACAAGTTATTGTCCTGAAACTAGAAAAATGTTTGTTTTTTGCCCCTTTTTGGCCCCTAATTCCTAAAATTTTGAGGCAATTACCCCCAAAATCAATCCCAGCCTTCCCTTGGTGGTATGGTACCTTGCAGTACAATTTCAGAGAGATCCATGCACTTGAACACAAGTTATTGTCTGGAAACTAGAAAAATGCTTATTTTTGGCCCCTTTTTGGCCCCTAATTCCTAAACGTTTTGGGCAATTACCCCCAAACTCAATTCCAGCATTCCCTTTGTGATATGGAACCTTGTTGTACAATGTCAGAGAGATCCATACACTAACACACAAGTTATGTCTGGAAGTTACAAAAATGCTTATTTTTGGCCCCTAATTCCTTAACTGTTGGTACAATAACCCCCAAAATCAGTCCCAACCTTCCTTTTGTGGTATTGAACGGTATGGTAAAATTATATAGAGATCCATTCACTTAAACTAAAGTTAGAGTGCGAAAACCAACGTGTCCTTGGACAAAGACGACGACGCCAACGTCATACCAATATATGACCGCAAAATTTGTTTGCGGTCGTATAATAAAAATCATTTAAATGCTTTAGTAGTTTTGTTTTTTTGAGTTTTCTTGTGTTTGTTCTATGTTGCCGCCCGGAAGTTGTATTTGGTGATATCCGAATTAGTGATGATTCTGTCAATGGCCAAATAAGTGTAGGTTATTCTCAAGTTTATAACTTATTTTTGATATGTTCTAACAAGGAATACAGAATGTGAATGTATGGAAATTGAATGAAACACGCCGGTTTAATGATAGTGACCGCCATTGTTTTTTTACTTTCGTAGTATCAGGTGATCATATGTCATGTGACTTTAACATTATGAAGTTGAATAAAGTGATGATTTTATATGTTTTTACTTTGTGACATTTTAAAATCCTCTATAAAAACCTTCATACAAATCATAAATTGTAAACGTGTTTTTAAAATGCCATTTTAATGCCTGTACGAATTTGATTGAGGAACAAAGTGAACCTGTCGATTGATTTGTTTTGAAAATGATTAGACTTCCTAATTGATTAGAGTGTGATAATCCAGATTTAATGATTCAATGAGTACCAACAAACAATAAATAAGCAGAAATTAATATTTATTTCAGCACTAATATATCAACATTAATATTTTATCTGCTTAAATCTTATAATACAATTTACCGGTATTTATTTATTTATTGTGTATTTCAGAAAATTTGTAATGTTTCTGTATTCCGTACAAGATTCACCGACTAAGATTTGCATTTACAGCTGATTTCAATGAGTGTGTAGGAAAAGGTTAATATCTTTGGTTAGCTTGCTTGCTAGCTGAACCGTGAAGTCTTATTAGGTTAGGTAAACTACCCTCCTTTATGAGTAGACTAGTCCCACAGGTAACCAATTCTATGTCTGTCGGACTAGTCTACTCAAAAAGAAGGGTAGTTTACCTAACCTAATAATGACTTCACGGTTCAGCTAGCAAGCAAGCTAACCAAAAGATATTACCTTTTCCTACTCACTCATTGAAATCGGCTGTAAACAACTTCCCGATTTAACACTTCCTGTTGAATTCAAACAAACACATCTTGGACACAATAAAGAATCAAACATCGTTTGCTAAATTATTTATTCTGCAACAATGTTTTCATTATCCTGTAATTAACCAGGACTGGAGTTCATTTTGTCTCTCAAAAAAATCACTTTTCAATGGACGCATTATGGAGTTTCAAGTTGGGTTTCTTCCAGAAAGTCACTGCGTGTTATGCATAAGAACTAACTTTTTTCTAAAGTTTCAAGGGCCAAAAGGGGGGTGCATTCTATGCATGGATGCGTTTTATACACACCTAAAGACGGTATACTTTTAGATAATATATGATCTTTGTTTTGATGTTAAGTTATTTTGACTGATTTGTTTTGTAGCATGGTCTAATGCTTAATGTGTTCGTGTTAGGTTTTTATACTTTTTTGCTATCCATTTTTTTTTTTGCTACTGCTGTCTCAATAAAAGGGGAAATTTGAGCTAAAAATTCTTTGAATCTGGATTATCTTTTTAGAAAAAATAAGTCGGTAATAATATCACAATGACTGTCTATGTGCAATATTTGTTTTTCTCTTATTCTTCTTTGGTGTTCTGTTAAAGAATAAATTACATAAATATTTGTAAATTATATGCAATGTGTTGTTGTTAATTCTCATATCAGCTTCAGTTATTTGAACAAGTTTTGCCTTGATTACAGCAAAGACTACTGATGCAATTGTTCACCCAACACAGTGTCATATAAGATACTGTACAATCAAATATTTGCATAAAATCTGTTTATATTCAACAAAAGTCCAAAGAAAAATTAAAAGTAAAATATTTTAAGAAGTGTTTTGAATAGGTTAACTCTTAACTTAAGTAATCTTTGTTAATTACCCATCTCTTCCAGTAAGTCAGGATTTTCTGATACCTTTTCCAACTTTGATATAAAACCTTTGATAGCTTTGAAGGCCTGCAATAAATAATACAGTCCCAATTACTTCAAGGGATCCTGAACTTATCTGACTAAACAGTTAATAACTCTTGTTGTAACCTTATCCTAACATATGCTCAAACTTATCTTACCCTTACCCTTAAGATAAAACCTATACTAGCCTACTTTAAAATACAATAACCTGAATCCTAGACATAAAGTGCTTGATGTATAAATAAAAAAGGCTTGTAATACAGGGTAAATGTATCCACCAATACGTCCATGATAAGTTTTTAAATGGACTCATACTTCCATTTTCTCAAAAGGTATAATCCAAAACTCAACACACTAGTGATCATAGTTTCATTGCTAACAAAAAATCTTTATAAATTCAGAATGCTTAACAAGTTTATGTTAATCCTTCACATGTTACAATAAAATGCTCCACAGGGCGCAGCTTGATACGACTGCAGAGGTCGAACCCTGAACAGTTGGGGCAAGGATGGACACAACATTCAAGCTTGATACAGCTCTGAATTTGGATTGTGATTAAATATTTGACACAGCATAGGTTTCTGACACAGAATGAATGTGGTCTAAGAACTTAAAAATTTTAAATTGGAAATTCACCTATTATGGTCCAATATCCAAAATCTAAATACATGGTTAGATTCAGCATATCAAAGAACCCCAAGAATTCAATTTTTGATGAAATCAAACAAAGTTTAATTTTGGACCCTTTTGACCTCAATGTGGACAAAGTTGATAATGGGGCCCAAAAATCAAAAATCTAAATACATGGTTAGATTCAGCATATCAAAGAACCCCACATATATTCAATTTTTGTTGAAATCAAATAAAGTTTAATTTTGGACCCCGATTTGGACCAACTTGAAAACTGGGCCCATAATCAAAAATCTAAATACATGTTTAGATTCAGCATATCAAAGAACCCTAAGAATTCAATTTTTGTATGGACACAACATTCAAGCTTGATACAGCTCTGAATTTGGATTGTGATTAAATATTTGACACAGCATAGGTTTCTGACACAGAATAAATGTGGTCTAACAACTTAAAAATCTTAAATTGGACATTCACCTATTATGGTCCAATATCCAAAATCTAAATACATGGTTAGATTCAGCATATCAAAGAACCCCAAGAATTCAATTATTGATGAAATCAAACAAAGTTTAATTTTGGACCCTTTTGACCTCAATGTGGACAAAGTTGATAACGGGGCCCAAAAATCAAAATCTAAATACATGGTTAGATTCAGCATATCAAAGAACCCCATATATTCAATTTTTGTTGAAATCAAACAAAGTTTAATTTTGGACCCCGATTTGGACCAACTTGAAAACTGGGCCAATAATCAAAAATCTAAATACATGTTTAGATTCAGCATATCAAAGAACCCTAAGAATTCAATTGAAGTTAAAATCAAACAAGTTTAATTTTGGACCCTTTGGACCTTAATGTAGACCAATTTGAAAACAAAACCAAAAATTAAGAATCTAAATACACGGTTAGATTCGGCATATCAAAGAACCCCAATAATTCAATTTTTGATGAAATCAAACAAAGTTTAATTTTGGACCCTTTGGACCTCAATGTGGACCAATTTAAAAACTGGGCCCAAAATCCAAAAACTTAATACACCGTTAGATTCAGCATATTAAAGAACCCCAAGAATTCAAGAATAAAACCCCATTGAAATTGGTCAAGAAATAAGCAATTTATACGAAGTATCTTCTTTTGCACAATACTGTGCAATTGAATATTTCTTGCTATTGCGCAATACTGTACAATTGACAATTTCTTGCTATTGCGCAATATTGTGCTATTGGATATTTCTTGCTATTGCGCAATACTGTGCAATCGAAGATTTCTTGCTATTGCGCAATACTGTGCAATTGAAGATTTCTTGCTATTGTGCAATACTGTGCAATTGAAAATTTCTTGCTATTGCACAATACTTATTATATAATAATTTACACATCCTGTTTGGTGTGTATATTCTACCATATCATTATTATCTAAGGAATGACTGTAATATTTTTTCTGTCTATGAAGAAATAACATAAAAAATGTGGTGCACACTGAATAACCCGCGTAGCGGGTTATTTTAAAGTGTGCACCACATTTTTTATGTTATTTCAAATAGACAGAGAAAATATTACAGTCATTTCTTATAATTTAATTCTTAATTCCATTTTAAACCGCAGTTAATCATGAAAAAACGTTGATGACGTCAAGGTCACATGACAAAATTATGTCTATGAGCTGATAAACAAAACAATGTCAGCCAATCAGAAGACCAGAAATAACCAACTTAAAATGGAAAACTTTAAAAGAAAAAAAAAATGAAAAAAAGAAAAAAAGAAAAAAAAGGAAAAAAAAAAAAATCCCCCCCAAATTTTTTGAACCCCCTTATGATTCATCACCCCCAAACTCAATCCCAGCCTTCCCTTTGTGGTATGGTACCTTGCAGTACAATTTCAGAGAGATCCATACACTTGAACACAAGTTATTGTCTGGAAACTAGAAACATGTGTTTTTGGCACCAAATTCCTAAACGTTTAGGGCAATTACCCCCAAACTCAATTCCAGCTTTCCCTTTTAGATATGGAACCTTGTAGTACAATTTCAGAAATATCCAAACACTTACAAACAAGTTATTGTCATGAAACTAGAAAAATGCTTTTTTGGCCCCTAATTACTAACATTTTGAGGCAATTACCCCCAAAATCAATCCCAGCATTCCCTTTGTGATATGGAACCTTGTGGTACAATGTCAGAGAGATCCATACACTTACACACAAGTTATTGTCTGGAAGTTACAAAAATGCTTATTTTTGTCCCCTTTTTGGCCCCTGATTCCTTAACTGTTGGTACCATAACCCCCAAAATCAATCCCAACCTTCCTTTTGTGGTATTGAACCTTATGGTAAAATTTCGTAGAGATCCATTCACTTAAACTAAAGTTATAGTGCGAAAACTAATGTGTCTTCGGACGAAGATGACGACGACAATGAGGACGACGACACCAACGTCATACCAGTATACGACCGCAAAATTTTTGCCGTCGTATAAAAATATTTCCAAATGGTTTCTATAAAACAATATTCAAGAAATACAGAAAAAGAAACAGAGCATGGAAAAGAAAATTATTATATTCACATTCATGAAGAGGGATAGTCATCAGTTGGTCACAGTTATCGTCCTTTGATTTTCGTTGTCTACAAATAGAGTCCCTAGTGTGGACAGTGTATAACTTGCAAATTTTTTTCATACATCTTTCAAATTCATATCTGTATTTTTTATGCATAAAATAGTAAGTAGGGGGATGAAATTACATGTAAAAAAAATTTGGGGCATGGATTTTTAGGTAAAGTAGTGATTTGGTCCAGTTTGAAAAGGTCAAAAATTAGTATGTCAGAAGCTGTCAAATTGAATTACAGACGCCCTTAACGTAAAATTGTTCATATTTTGAGTTAGACCCAATAGACTTTTCTATAACTTTGATATAGTTCGTCCCAAAAGTAGTGCACTACACTGTAAAAATCTTTTTTGGATAGAGCAGGTGCGAATTTTTTAATTTGCGTTTTTTGTCTAAAAGAAATGCACTACGAAATAACTGTGTTCTCGGGCCAGTAACTGTAAATTCAGAAATTATTGCGTGCATTTATTATTGTGATTTTTCAAGAACGGACAAAAATGCGAGTTTAATTATTGTGATTTCGAAAAAATCTGCATACAGGTCTATGTTCCAGCAAATACCAATTTTCAAGTCTCTGGTTTGAACCAGCCAGGGTTAGAATCCATGACCTCCAGCACTCAAGGCACCCTACCACTAGACCACTGAGGTGGTTTAAATCTGATACTATAAAACAGTGATCATTTTAACCTTATTACTCTTTGATAATAAAGCTACAGAAATACAGTCATAATGTCTTTGATAATTTAGTTTATAATAATCAAATACATTGTATGACTCTTAAAACACTTAAATTTGAAACATTTTTTTTATAATGTCTACAAACTTACTTGATCACGGACACTTTTTTCAGGATCCATCGTCGCAGTACATAAAGCTGGCAGTAACCTGACTGAAACTTCTTTGAGAAGAAAATAATTCTGTGTAGCTGCCATACCTAAGATACCTGCCTGTCTGACTGCAGGGAAGGGATCTCGTAAAGCTCGTAAGAAGGCAGAGGTGATAATCTTCTGTCTAATCTGTAATATAAATGAATAACTCATACTATACACAAGAAAACTTGAATTCTGCATTGAAAGTAGAGTGTATTTTCATTTGTGGATTTGAGTATTTTAAAAGATAAAAAATAAATGGGGAATGTGTCCATGGGACACAGATGATGCCCCCGCTTGCATATAAAGTTATAGAGGGACATAACTCAAGAAAGGTAAAACTGACACTACCCAAAATCTGAGTTTTGTGGTAATAAGTATTGTGTATAAGTTTCATAACATTTGGTTGAGGCAAACTTAAGTTAGAGAACAGAAACAAAAAATTCAGCAATTTTTCCATTTGTAAAGGGGCATAACTCTAGAAAGGTAAAAGTGACGCCACCCAATTCAAACTTGATCTGTGTTTTGTGGTAATAAGCATTGTGTATAAGTTGCATAACATTTGGTTGAGGCAAGCTAAATTTAGAGAACAGAAACCAATTTCGGGACGTACGGACATACAAGGGTGAAACTTAATGCCCCTTTCGCTACGGCGGGGGCATAAAAATTCCTTGTTTGTATTCTTATGCTGTACTCTAAAAAGAATCAGTAGAAAAAAATTTATTCCATCAAGTACTCAAATTTGTGGTTAAGATTAGCAATGAAAAAACATATGTAGAAGTACTTTTAAGTTACAGTGAAAATCACTACAAAATTTTTGTTTCCTTTTAAATAAATGTGGATAGTGTCCACATGTGGACACAGATGATGCCCCCGCTTGCATAGCATATAGTTATAAAGGGACATAACTGAAGAACGGTAAAAGTGACGCTACCCAAATTTGAACTTGATCTGAGTTTTGTGGTAATAAGCATTGTGTGTAAGTCTCATAACATTTGGTTGAGGCTAACTTAAGTAGAGAACAGAAACTAAAAATTCAGCAATTTTTTTATTTGTAAACACGCATAACTCTAGAACGGTTGTGAATAAGTTTTATAACATTTGGTTGAGACAAACTAAAGTTAGAGAACAGAAACGAAAAATTCAGCAATTTTTATGCTTATAAAGGGACATAACTCAAGAATGGTAAAAGTGTCGCCACCAAATTTCGTACTTAATCTGTATTATGTAGTAATAAGCATTGTGTATAAGTTTCATAACATTTGGTTGAGGCAAACTAAAGTTAGAAAACGGAAACAAAAAAATTGTACTTGATCTTAATTTTGTGGTAATGAATATTGTGTATAGGTTTCATAATGTTTGGTTGGGGCAAACTTAAGTTACAGAATGGAAACTAAAAATTTTGCAATCTTTCAATTTATAAAGGGGCATAACTCAATAATGGTTAAAGTGACACTACCCAAATTCAACTTGATCTGTGTTTTATCAGTGGAAGTCAAAATTAAACATTGCATTGTATAAAGCATTGATTGCAGTTGATTCAACTATAATCATGGACAAAGGAAGATAACTCCAATTTTAAAAATTAGTTGATATTTAGAAGAAAATAAATATTTTGCAATTTTTCCATTTATAAAGGGGCATAACTCTAGAACGGTTAAAGTGACGCCACTAAAATTCAAACTTGATCTGTGTTTTGTGGTAATAAGCATTGTGTATAAGTTTCATAACATTTGGTTGAGGCAAACTCAAGTTAGAGAACGGAAACCAATTTTGGGACGTACGTACAAACTGACAAGGGTAAAACTTAATGTCCCCACCGCTACGGCATAAAAATACTCATTTTTAAATATCAAGACAAAAAATTGATATGAAGTACTTACATTGGGACTAAGGTACCCTGCTATTTTACCCAGACATACTGTTGTGTTTGTCCTAATACCTCCCTGTAATGTGATAAAAAATGAGTACATATATTGTATATGGAAATAGTTGGAAGTACAGAATGCAATGGAGGAAAAAGTCAATTTTTATAAATGGAAAAAGCTGATTTCACTCTGAACTAATATATAATGACACATGTTTTTTTTTAATTCCATGCATTTTTTTACTCGGAAATTACATTTGTGAGACAGTAAATATAAAGTTTGATTCACTTGTAATCTTCTTAGAAACAATGAGTGTGTCCTAAAATTTGAAACAAAAATACTTTCAGGATTTATTATTATTATTTATTATATTGAATTCATGAGACCAATTCTTCTTCAACAACAATATCAAGATAGTCCTTAGACTCAACATTTAGGAACAACAGCAACATCAGGATAGTCCCTAGACTCAACATTAAAGACCTACAGCAACATCAGGATAGTCCCTAGAGTCAACATTAAAGACCTACAGCAACATTAGGATAGTCCCTAGAGTCAACTTTAAAGGCCTACAGCAACATCAGGACAGTCCCTCGAGTCAATAATAAGGACCTACAACAACATCAGTTTAGTCCATAGACTCAACATTAAGGACCTACAGCAATCATCAGGATAGTCCATAGACTCAATGTCAAGGACCTACAGCAACATCAGAATAGTCCATAGACTCAAGATTCAAGACCTACAGCAACATCAGGATAGTCCCTAGACTCAAGATTCAAGACCTACAGCAACATCAGAATAGTCCCTAGACTCAAGATTCAAGACCTACAGCAACATCAGGATGGCCCCTAGATTTAACATAGAGGACCTGAGTCCTGATTGTCTACAACAGTTATAAGAAAAATTCCCTGCCTTAACATTAGGAGAATGCTTGGATATTCAATGGTTTGTTACTTCATGATATAAACAGGTTGAAAGAGTCTCAGAACTTAGAATATCTCTTCAGGTGCATATTTTTGTAGCATTACACATATATACCGGGTAATTAAATTCAATTATAGCATAAAGCAATTCAATACATACACCTAAAAATAAACAAAATTTGTTAAATAGTTCAACATGGACATTACCTGATCATCTTTGGCCTGTAACCTTGCAAAGTGTTTCATCAATTCTTCATTTAAGTTTTTATAATTCAACTTTGCAGCTAACTGTAACATTGCCTGGAAAGATGAAAAATATGTCTTGTACACTTTCCTTCAACATTGCTTTTCAACATGTAAGTTGGCTATTTTGAAGCTTATTATACAAAACTAATACAGACTATCTATATCTTGTGCTGCTTTTTCGTCATTTCCATATCAACATCTTAAGGATTTTTGTTATTTTCAGCATGCATGATTTAATCAGAATGTTAAGATATAAATATTCAAATATACAGAGTAAAAAATATAATATCTCAAAACAGCAGAAGTTTAATTTGTTGCTGGCCTTTTCAAAATGTTGACATATAAATTTCATGCAATCAGTTCTATTTTACCCTTAAAAGTACTGCAAATTTAGAAATTGTGTGTGCACTTATGATCTTGATTGTTAAACAATGGACAATGCTAAGTTAATCATTACACTTCAGGAAATGCTGCCCACAAATAATGGTGTTAAGATTGAAAATGTGAGTTTTTACTTTCGGAAAGCCTATCCAATCGTAATTTTTGCAAAAATAAACATCATAAAAAAAAATCTTAATTTACAGTATAAATATTACATATTTATGTTTTACTTACCTTTACAGTACTTTCTCTGACTACAGGATTTGTATCTGAGAAACCATGACTTATCTGAGGGAATATCTGGTTATTAACTGTATCTGGTTGTAAAAATTCACCAAAGGAATCAATCTGTCAATCAACAAAATGTTTCTGCTTAGTACACCAATAAATACATTAAACTAAAATTGTATCAATGTAAATCAAGTAGTATGAAGATTCATTATTGAAAATTTTTAATGAATAGCAAAATTTTTGGGATAAAATAAAAAGATACAAAGACTGTTGGGAGGGAATGAAAAAAAGCATGTGTCAAGGAAGGTCAGAGTTCACAAAAATTACACAGATAACTAAGGAATGACATTGGGTAATAAATATTCTGGACGACAAGCTTAATCAATAACTAAAAGTCTAAACTGTAATGGTCTATTGAAGTATTTAAATATTTTAAGATCAATAGAAGAGACAAATTAGATACTTTTATCTTTAAATTGCAAAATTGTATAGTCTTGATATACATTTAAAATCCAAGAAATAAAGATTAATTCAATGGTTTTTTAAAGGACACTGGCAAAAGAAATGCAGATCAGATGAAAGAGCCATACAAATATTTACATATAGATTCCATCACTTCATCCAGTGATATACAATATTCCTCTGATTTAAACAAATGTCTACACAGAAACCTATAAGGAATGAAGATTTTTTTCAGTTTAGCCTTGTTTCAAAATAAAATAATGTATACATTAAAACATGTCACACCGACCCTTTTCAACACACTACAAAATGATCTACCTGTTGTAACAATTTGACCCTAGTAGCTCTATCTGTTGAAGAGAATAATTTAACCACACATGGAACTATCTTCTTCTGATACTCGTCCATATCTAACAGTTTTCCTATCTAAAATGAAAAGAAATGAATACAGTTAAAGATTTGATAACATCAGTAAATAGATTTGTTTACTGAAACCTTCTTTTTTTTAGAGATAAACATACTTCAATAAAACTTTAAACACATTGAGATTTAATTAATGATTATATTTCTTTCCATGAATAGATTTATTCTAGTAAATGATTGAAAATTTTTTTACAATGAAATAGCTAACATAACAAAATTGAAACAAAGTAATGAGTCTAGTTAAGTTAACTATTGAATCTGCATTCAGTTTATCAATAGTGTCTAGATTAATTCTCTAATAAAATTTTGCAGGGTTTGTTGTTTCATGATATCTTACCTTAAATAATGGAGCTAATACTGAAGAACCAGCATCACCATACTCAAATGCATTTAACAATTGTGGAAGGATTTTATTCTTACAGAATGATGGAGGGAATGAATCTAAACATGGAGTTAATTTACTGAAAAAGTTCGTTTTCTCTGTCTTTTCTTTAATCTGCAAGAAAAAACAAAACAGTATTATCAGCAAACAAGGTAATGAACTTTAAAAAAACCAAAAAACATATATTTATTGGTTTCATAATGGGGAATTTATCATTATTATTATTGGAATTAAATTAACGAGGGTTAATATCAAGCAATGTGCAATTCTCATCAGTCATTAAACTTATTTCTCTTATGGTAAAGATGATCTTAGTGTAAATAAGAATATTCTGTGAAACATTATTCTTGTGTTTTGAACTAAACAGTTTAACATCTTAAGTCTGCTTCTGCCAACAAACATCATTAACATCAGATGTTTTCAAGCTTTTTATATGCTTCAGAATAGAATTAAAATTGACAAAAAGAATATTTTCAGGTGAACATGCGAGTGTTTTTATAGTATTAAAGAAATCACAAAATTGGTTCCCAAGGAGGAACAGCAGTTTGTTGTGACCTTTGAAAGTCATCATTGACTTAATGAATAGTCAATGGAAATGTCACAAATTCAAATACATTCTAGGATAGGCCAACCAAATTTACTATTTTTTCATATTACTTATTTAAATGACTCTTCATTCATAGTGAGAGGAGAAATAGACAAAACCAAAAGGCAATCTGCATTTACACAAAAGACAATGTATTTAAACTACAATCTAATAGTTACCTTGGAACAGTTTATATCAACAAAAAATATGGTTTTAATGTTTACCTTTTTGGATATTTTGAAACCATTCATATGGTATAATACAAAGAAACTTAGAGTGCTAATATTAATGATAGTCAAAAGAAATATTTTTGTAAGGACATCTCATACATTACTTCTGCCATGTTTGGATGAACTTCGTCAAATAACTTCAGAGTAGAAGATAAAAATGTTATTTTCAATAAGGTTTCAGCAGGAACTATGTGCCATCAATGCCAACATGTTTACAGTCTGCTTAACATTCTTTTGAAGAGCATATTTTCATCAATAATTCTCAAATGTTTCAAAACATTTTACCTTGTAGTTACAATGAAGATTACCGAAAATTGGCAAATCAAAATCAAAGATTGTCTCTGGTTGTCATGTGTTTCATCAGATTAGAATGAGCAAAGGAACATTTGTAAAAGAACTTCAATATATAATGGCTGCAAACTTTGGTTATCATTAGATTAGGGGTTTCAGAGAAGAAAATGAAAATGTGAAAAGTTTTAGGAAGATAGACAATAAGTGATGACAACAGCTCATGTGGCCCTCAGAGCCTTTTACAAAAAAAAAACATACCTGGATTTCTTCCAAAAATAACATGGTATCAACAAATGAATTATGCATCACACCTTTGGTACTTCTACAGACTTGTATTAACTTGGCTGGGTTTGGTCTTGTGTTGGGATTAGCACTAACTAATTCGCAATAGTTGGGAACTAGAGATTTTGGAATCTGAAACATAGTAGTTCATTTTTAATCATAATTCTGAAACATACCTAGAAGACATGGAGAACAAAATATGTTTTTGATTGGGTTCATGTTGCTCAGTCTTTCATTTTCTATGTTGTGTTTTGTGTACTGTTGTTTGTTTGTTTTTTTCTTTTTTAGCCATGGCGTTGTCAGTTTATTCTAGACTTAGAAGTTTGAATGTCCCTTTGGTATTTTTCACCTCTCTTTTATATTTGTAAATAATCTTGGCTTCCACTAAAAGTTATGTCTTGTGTGAAATTTGAAATGTGTAAATTTTCCAAGTGTTGTTTAGTAAAAAACAAACCCTTCCTCAAATGTCAATTGTCTAGATGAAAATCTTAATGTAGTGTTATGTCTGGAATAAATAAGTATATACTAATCTGATATGATAATAAATTTGCTATCCGAGCGCAGCTGGATACGACCGCAGAGGTCCAACCCTGAACAGTTGGGGCAAAAATGGACACAATATTCGAGCTTGATACAGGTCTGAATTTGGATTGTAATTAAATATTTGACACATAATAGGTTTCTGACACAGAATAACTGTAGTCAAAGAACTTAGAATTGGTTATATAATTTGAATTTATATTCAATTTTTTGCTTTTGTGCAATACACTTTGCTGTTGCGAATTGACCCCCCCCCCCCCTTCCCCACAAAATAATTTTACCCCCCCCTTTTTTTGGCTTTTGTGCAATACACTGTGCTGTTGCGTATTGACCCCTCCCCCCCCCCCCCCACACACACACACACACACTTTTTTTTTGCAAAAAAAAATAATATTTGAAGAATTTTTCTTTTTAATTTCTGAAATCTGAAATGAGAAAAAATTGACCCCCCACAATTTCTTTTTACCCCCCCCCCCCTTTTTTTCCCCCCAAAAAAATTCTTTCCCTCAAGATTTGGTCATAATCTCAATTCAAATTTCCAATGGAGTTTGCAACCATAATTACCCATTTAAATACATCATAAAAGTCTTAAAATAGAAAATGACATACATAATCATCGCTAAAATTAATATTCCTTAATAGTAACTCCTAAAAATAAATTGACAACTATCATTTCAAGTCAATACAACATATCTTTATACATAATTTAAAAGCAGTGTAAGGGAGGTAATCAAAACATTGTGTTTGGATTACCTCCCTTACATTGCTTTTAAATTGTCTTAAGTAATTGTCCCTTGTTTTTCCCCCTTTTTTGCCCCTAATTCCTAAACAGTTTGAGCCATAACCCCCAAAGCAAATCCTAACCATCCCTTTGTGGTATGGAAACTTGTGGTATAATTTCAGAGAGATCCATACACCGTTCCACTAGTTATTGTCCGGAAACTAGAAAAATGCTTATTTGGGCCCCTTTTTGGCCCCTAATTCTTAAACTGTTCGGACCATAACCCCCAAAATCAATCTCAACCTTCCTTTTGTGGTTATAAACCTTGTGTTTAAATTTCATAGATTTCTATTTAATTATACTAAAGTTATTGTCCAGAAACCAACTGTCTTCGTACGACGCTGACGAAAACGTGATACCAATATACGACCGCAAAAGGGTCGTATAAAAATTATTTAGTTGAATCTTGCATGGGTTCTATATCTTTGGGTTCATTAATTATCTGAAAATTTATCAAATTCTATGTATTTTTCATGAATACCCTTAGAAGGGATTTCCATGATGTCTCGACTGCCTAAACGGTTTTTGCACCTAGAAATGATAAAATTTTCACTGTATGTTTTTAAAATAATATTGCATGATTTACATCATCACATGATAAAATACATGTAACGACCCGAACAAGGTACTGTGTATCACTGCACCTATCACCATGGAAAAACACTTTACTAAAACATTGTGTTATCTTACTCATCTCCTTTCATTTGATTATCAAAATTGTTTTTTCTTGTCAAAGAATTACACAGTAAACAATTTGAGTTTTAGTTATCATTTATAACTGTTAGTGGGTAATTTGTCAGAGATGGGGGAGAAATTAGCCAAAAAACAAGGCCATCCAAAATAAATAAATGTGCTCCAAATGTGGTATCGAGACAGCAATAAAGGCAGAAACTGTCTTTCTAAAAATATATCACCATTGAACCATGGTGCTATAAGGCACTGGGGAGAACACAGTAATGTACTTACTTTGCCAAATGCTTTTAATGATGAAGTTTGTGGTAAAGGACCATTGAATACTTCCCATATCAAACAACCTACTCCCCACATGTCTGATGACCTACAACACAAACATTTTATAAGTTTTGTTTATTTTCATTTACCTTTCATGTGCCAGTAACACTTGTACTTTTGGTTATATATGGCACATCACTGTAGGGAAACATTCGTTGTATAGATGTATATCATGATGTTTAATTGCTTGGATATGTAATACATACTTGTGACTGTATCTCAGCAAATATGTATATTGCATTCAAATATCCATGATCTAGTGACCACTGACCAGGTGTCATTTTTTGAAGAGTAGTTTTTCAGCAGCTTTACACAATATGTCAGCACCACTAAGTAAATACATTGGTTATATGGAGTATTTTCTAACCTATTATTTGTCAAAAAACCTTGACTGAACATTGATGTTAATAACTTATGTCAATGGACTTGATTAGATCTGTATTTAAGGAACTATGTACCAGGTTCTGAAAAATTGCTGCAAGCAGCTAGATATTAATATCAACTGTTCTTTCATTGATATGTCTCACTGAATTTCTTTTTATATGACAAAGTTTTTAGTTTTTCACAGAAGTTTTTAGTATAATTTACATGACCGACCAGAACCAATGAATAAGAATCAGCATCTTTATGAATTACATTCATTGTAACATATCAGTTGTTTTAAATGTGTGTTTCATACTTCCTTGATTAAATCAGTTTAAAAATAGTTTTCTGTCCATTTTGCAGTTATTTTTGGACTATCTTAGTACTTATGCACAAATATCTAATGTTATTGTAACCAAAATTTGAACATAAGTTCCAAGTAAAATCAAATCAAATTTGAAATAATTTAGAAAAGAAGGTCCTTACTGTACCTACTCATTAACCTAGGAATCTCAATCATACTGTTTATTACTTGACAGCTAATTAATCATTTGCTTCCAAACTTGAAAATTTGACAATTCAATTCAATTCAAATCTATAAACAATATATAGCCTTTAATAAGGAAAATACCATTTTTTGGCCATCATTCCTTTCCTTAAATCTATTTTTTCAGGAGGATCATATTTTTCTAACATTGGCAAGATCTTTACTGGTGGTGTACTGTCCTGACCAGATGCTGGATACATATAATCCACACCACCCAGCTTCCACTCACCAGCTGAATCCACAAATATGGATGATATACACACATTGTTGTGTATTAAATTACAATCATTGATAAGAAATGACAATCCTTTCTGAAAAATACATTGTAACTAGAATAATATTTTTCACAACTCTGTTTCTTTAGCCAGGTTTGGTTATATTTCTTTCATTTGATCCCTTCAAAAATTTTCTTAAGTTTTAATTTCCTAACATTTTATGTTTCACTTCTCACTGGACAAATTTAAAGTAAAGAATCAGCATAAATAAATATTTCATTAATAATATAAAGCAACTTGTTTTCATCTATTCGAAAACTTTAAAGAAAATAGAACATTATTTTTCCATGGTTAATGTATCAAAAGAATGTAATAACTGATTTATTAAATATCCTGTCAAGAGAATTATATCCCAAAAAATTAGAAAGAAGAAATACTAAAGGCCACTTAATATGAGTATGACTAAGCCAATTTGATGGCCAAGTGTGAAAAACCCCATCTCTAATGGTATTTTGTAAAATTAAAAAAAAATAAATGTGGATAGTGTCCACATGTGGACACAGATGATGCCCCCGCTTGCATATCATATAGTTATAAAGGGACATAACTGAAGAACGGTAAAGGGATGCTACTCAAATTTGAACTTGATCTGAGTTTTGTGGTAATAAGCATTGTGTGTAAGTCTTATAACATTTGGTTGAGGCTAACTTAAGTAGAGAACAGAAACTAAAAATTCAGCAATTTTTCTATTTGTAAACACGCATAACTCTAAAATGGTTGTGTATAAGTTTTATAACATTTGGTGGAGACAAACTAAAGTTAGAGAATGGAAACGAAAAATTCAGCAATTTTTATGTTTATAAAGGGACATAACTCAAGAATGGTAAAAGTGTCGCCACCAAATTTCGTACTTAATCTGTATTATGTAGTAATAAGCATTGTGTATAAGTTTCATAACATTTAGTTGAGGCAAACTAAAGTTAGAAAACGGAAACAAAAAATTTGTACTTGATCTTAGTTTTGTGGTAATGAATATTGTGTATAGGTTTCATAATGTTTGGTTGGGGCAAACTTAAGTTACAGAATGGAAACTAAAAATTTTGCAATCTTTCAATTTATAAAGGGGCATAACTCAATAATGGTTAAAGTGACACTACCCAAATTCAACTTGATATGTGTTTTTTTCAGTGGAAGTCAAAATTAAATATTGAATTGTATAAAGCATTGATTGTAGTTGATTCAACTATAATCATGGACAAAGGAAGATAACTCCAATTTTAAAATTTTAAAAATTACTTGATATTTAGAAGAAAATAAAAATTTTGAAATTTTTCCATTTATAAAGGGGCATAACTCTAGAACGGTTAAAGTGACGCCACCAAAATTCATCCTTGATCTGTGTTTTGTGGTAATAAGCATTGTGTATAAGTTTCATAACATTTGGTTGAGGCAAACTTAAGTTAGAGAACGGAAACTAAAAATTTTGCAATTTGTCCTTTTATAAAGGAGCATAGCTCTAGAACGGTTAAAGTGACGCCACCAAAATTCAAACTTGATCTGTGTTTTGTGGTAACAAGCATTGTGTATAAGTTTCATAACATTTGGTTGAGGCAAACTCAAGTTAGAGAACGGAAACCAATTTTGGGACGTACGTACAGAAGGACAAGGGTAAAACTTAATGCCCCCACCGCTACGGCGGGGGCATAAAAAACACTTGTGACATAAAATGATGGTTCAAAACACTAACTAACATACAATTGCAAAAATTACCCACCACAACCTGGTGTAAACCCCAAGATATAGCCAATTCATTTGTTGATCCTTCACTAGAACATTCTCTGATATATGTTTCTAATGGTGTCACAGGTTCTGTAGCGAAGTAAATTACTTTGTCTGTCTGGAAAAAAAAATAGATAAGTGAAAAAAATTATGTATATCTTAAATATTGAATGCAATTTTTTCCCCACTCAATTCATTACACATAATAACATGGAACATACAAAGAAATGCATTTAAAGAAAAAATTAGTTTCAAATTATAAATATGAATAAAGACAAAATTTGTTGTCTTTGTTTTAATACAGTAATTTATGAGTTGTATAGATTGTATTAACAAGCAAAAATATTTTTCCATGAAAATAAATATTATTTCATATACTTCAATCATGAAATAATTTTAAACCTTTATTTTAATATGCTGCGTAAAAAAACAAAAATTTCTTATTTCAATACAAATACTTTTCTACTGATTTTGAAATTTTATCTGTGTTCGCTGTATGTAGTGTGTCTGGTATTGTGTTTATTCTATTATTAAACGACTGATTTGTTTTATGTATATATGTGTACTGAGTCTGGTATTATAATTAAAATTCTCTATATCAAATCACAGACTATCAACATTTAAGATACCTCAATTCCATCCAGAAATGTTAAAATGTTTGGATGTCTCAGTGTCTTTATTCTTTTAAAGGAAGCTTTAGCAATTTGAACCTGAAAAATAAAATAAAACCTATTTTTTAACACATTCACTTCGTCATGGTAGGAGTTTCCTACTAGGTTTAAGCATCTCAATCATAATTTAATATTAAATGACTGTCTTGCTGCTAAGTGATTAACATAAATGATTGATACTGTTTTATATACATTTACCCTGTATCCATCTTAAGGGATTTTGTGAGCTTTATCCCAATGTCTTTAAAAGATTGTTTATCCCAATTTCCCAAATGCCCTCCAAAAATAGTGTGTTTTTAAATCATCAAAATTACATCCTTATACTTTGGTCTTTGGTGGATAGTTGTTTATTGAATTGGTAATCATACTAAATCTTAATTAAAGCAATGTTTGTTTACAAACTGCTACTTTATCTCAGTTGTTCCTGTGACATAGTCATACATTGTCATACAGGTCACCAGTTACATATACTTACTTGAGATTCACTATTTGCTTTGACATCAAAAGCAAACACAGACACTGGATCACCAGATCCCTAAAACATGAAACATTATTTACTTTAACAAATATTTCTGAAATGAATCCTTGAATACATGATGTATTGATTTTGAACAACTTGAATACAGAAATAGTTAATTATAAGTGGACATCTGATTTTATAAGTACATGTACATTTATAATTACAAAATGTGCAAATTTGGATGATGATAGGAATATTTATATGAAACAGTACTAGTATTGATGGTCAATGACAACTGGTAGGTTGAAGTCTTTAATGGAAAGGAGTCATTCAGTATAGAATAACCAACATTTTTATTAATTGTCATTTGCAACAATTCAAATGTCAAGTCTAGCTCCTATTAGTCAATGATGACCATAATTCAAATGTCCTGTTAATGTCAAAGGCTTTTTTCTGTCAGAATGATTGGGAGTTGTTTCCTTGTTATTTTGGTAATTTTGTTAGGACTTCTCAGTTTTAAGTCACAAACCTGACCTGACAATTTGCAGCATCATAGACAAGAAGTTTCATACCCATTTTCGTAAAACATTGAATAGAAATTTGTCTAGGGCAATTGTTTAATTATGTAAAATTGCAAATGCCATAGTAAAAACATGCAACATGTATGTTTCGATTTTGAATGTAAACCAAATGTGTCAATTTGATTGTAAACTACGAAATGAATTCAGAATAACAATACAAAATGAATTCAGAATAACAATACGAAATTCTTTAGATAATCAAGTTTGTGTATTTACAATGTACTTTTACACTTGTAAAGTTTTTCAATTTGATCCATAATTGTTTTACTCTTGTTATTTGGCATGAATTTATGTTCCATTTTACAATTAAGACTAATCTTGTACTAGTTTAAATAGGGGGGGAGGGGGTACATGTATAAGTATTAGTGAGGGGATGTGGATTGTGTTAGTCAATAAAAACATGTGTTTGACTTGTTAAACCTTTTTCTTCTTAATTGAATTTAGATTTTATTTACTTATTTAAATTTTCATAAGCATTCTATGAAAAGTAATTAAATAATGCAATTAATCGTCTATCTTGATCAATGTTTTCCCCTCTCAGCTGTGTCAATCTACCTGTACAAGTGATTAGCAGTCATAAGCTTGATATCCTTCAGGGCTTTAAAACAGTTACAAAGAGGACCCTTTGAATTATAATACAATAGGGGTTAGGCAATTAAATGCAATTGATGATGATTGCTAGCAGAAATGGTGGTGGCTAGAGAAACGAAAATAAAATTTGATTGCAACATTCAACCATTGTGCAAATATTTAACGATTGCAGTCCGCCCTCATAAAACAGGTCACGGAGATCCATGGAACCTGTGTCAAAAGTACAATTTTAATAAGTGATCATCCACTTCTGATACATGTATCATAGAATTCATTCACCTTTATTTACTATAAAGTCCAGGGGTTTTCTGGGATTTCATATTGTTTGGCCTTCCCCTGACTTCAGATTTTTTTGTGAAAAACATTTATTTCATATATCTATCAATTTCGTTATTAATAAAAAATCTGTTAATCTAGCACTTTGTTAAGATATTTACATGATCGTGCAAGAATAAAAGCTTTCTAACTTAACTCAACTGCCTTTTTATTATTTAGGTGGCTTTATAAAAAATTTGTAAGGGTTCCACGGAACCCAGTGTCTCGGCTTCTTTTTCTGATAATCTCGGGTCAACAAAAATGAGGAAGTAAATCAATAAAAATATTCCTCTTGATACTATCATTTGATTGTAAGAAGCTTCTGTCCAAGTTTGGTAAATATCCAGGATAGTTTATGAATCTAATAAATGTTTAAAAACTTTAACTGCAGACTGAATGTAATGTTAACTGGAAGAAAACAAAATTTCCTTCTAGATACTAGCATTTGATCATAAACAAGCTTCTGTCCAAGTTTGGTACAAATCCAAAATAGTATAAGAAAGTTATTAAAATTTTAAAAACTTTAACCACAGAGTGAATGTGTTGTTTCCTGGCAGAAAATCTAAGTCCATTCAAAAGTAAAATACGGAAAAATGGATTTATTTTTTTACAAAATTTCCTTCTAGATACTAGCTTTTGATCATAAACAAGCTTCTGTCCAAGTTGGTACAAATCCAAAATAGTATAAGAAAGTTATTAAAATTTTAAAAACTTTAACCACAGAGTGAATGTGTTATTTCCTGGCAGAAAATCTAAGTCCATTTAAAAGTAAATTAAGGAAAAAATGGATTTTTTTTTTTACAAAATTTACTTCTGGATACTATCTTATGATCATAAACAAGCTTCTGTCCAAGTTTGGAAGAAACCCAGGATAGTTTAAGAAAATTATTAAAATTTTAAAAACTTTAACCACAGAGTGAATGTAATATTTCCCGGCAGAAAAACTAAGTCCATTTCTAAGTAAAATACGGAAAAAATGGAATTTTATTTTTACAAAATTTACTTCTGGATACTATCTTATGATCACAAACAAGCTTCTGTCCAAGTTTGGTAGAAATCCAGGATAGTTTAAGAAAGTTATTAAAATTTCAAAAACTTTAACCACAGAGTGAATATTTGTGGACGCCGCCGACAGAATGTAGGATCGTTATGTCTCGCTTTTTCTACTAAAGTCGAATGCTCGACAATAAAATAAAATGGTCCGCTGGGCGCAGCTTGATACAACCGCAGAGGTCGAACCCTGAACAGTTGGGGCAAGTATGGACACAACATTCAAGCTTGATACAGCACTGAATTTGGATTGTGATTAAATATTTGACACAGCATAGGTTTCTGACACAGAATGAATGTGGTCTAAGAACTTAAATTTTTTTAATTTAACTATTTAAACCATATCATTATTATTTCCTTTTATATATAAATCAGAAATAAACAATTTAAAATGGAAAATTTTAAAGAAAAAAAAAGGAAAAAAAAATCCCTCCCCCAAATTTTTTGAACCCCCTTATGATTCATCAACCCAAAACTCAATCCCAGCCTTCCCTATGTGGTATGGTACCTTGCAGTACAATTTCAGAGAGATCCATACACTTTAACACAAGTAATTGTCTGGAAACTAGAATAAACTGCTTCGCTGAGCGCAGCTAGATACGCCCGCAGAGGTCCGACCCTGAACAGTTGGGGCAGAAATGGACACAATATTCAAGCTTGATTCAGGTCTGAATTTGGATTGTAATTAAATATTTGACATATTATAGGTTTCTGAATAAATGTATTCAAAGAACTTAAATTGGTTATATGAATTAAATTTATATTCAATTAAAAATTTCTTGCTGTTGTGCAACACTTAGTAAATCTGTTGTCAAGACTATAAACAAATAAAGTTCAATTAATTCTCAATGCCATATTAGAAATTTATGAAAATAAAAAGGGAGCTTACATCAATAGATATAAACAATTCACCAAAGTTTCATAAGAATTGGTGACAGCATTTTTGAGTTATTGTCTGAAAACTGGAAAATCACCCTTTTTTTAATGAATAAAACCCCATAACTCAGAAATGTTAAATGTAAAATTTATAAAATTCTAAAGAAAGTTTACATCAATACATACAAACAATTCACCAAAGTTTCATAAGAATTGCTGAAAGCATTTTTGAGTTTTTGTCCGAAAACTGAAAAATCCCCCCTTTTTTTATGGATAAAACCCTGTAACTCGGAAACGTAAAATCTAAAATTTATAAAAATCAAAAGAGAGCTCATGTTAATAGATATAAACAATTCACCACAATTTCTTGCAAGTTGGTGAAAGCATTCTTGACTTATTGTCCGAAAACTGGAAAATCCCCCTTTTTTTAATGAATAAAACCCCATAACTCGGAAACGTAAAATCTAAATTTTATAAAAAACGAAAGGGAGCTCACGTCAATAGATATAAACAATTCACCAAAGTTTTATGCAAATTGGTTAAAGCATTCTTGAGTTAATGTCCGACATGTTGACGACGGACAGACGGACGGACAGACGGACAGACGGACGGACGGACAGACGGACAACGGTTTACCATAATACGTCCCGTAAACGGGCGTATAAAAATGCTTGTTTTTAGGCCCCTTTTTGGCTCCAAATTCCTAAGCGTTTAGGGCAATTACCCCCAAACTCAAACCCAGCTTTCCCTTTGTAATATGGAACCTTGTAGAACAATTTCATAAAGATCCATACACTTACACACAAGTTATTGTCCTGAAACTAGAAAAATGCTTGTTTTTTGCCCCTTTTTGGCCCCAAATTCCTAAAATTTTGAGGCAATTACCCCCAAAATCAATCCCAGCCTTCCCTTTGTGGTATGGTACCTTGCAGTACAATTTCAGAGAGATCCATACGCTTGAACACAAGTTATTGTCTGGAATCTAGAAAAATGCTTATTTTTGGCCCCTTTTTGGCCCCTTATTCCTAAACGTTTCGGGCAATTACCCCCAAACTCACTTCCAGCTTTCCCTTTGTGATATGGAACCGTTTAGTACAATTTCATAAAGATCCATCACTTACACACAAGTTATTGTCCTGAAACTAGAAAAATGCTTGTTTTTTGCCCCTTTTTTGGCCCCTAATTCCTAAAATTTTGAGGCAATTACCCCCAAAATCAATCCCAGCATTCCCTTTGTGATATGGAACCTTGTGGTACAATACCAGAGAGATCCATACACTAACAAACAAGTCATGTCTGGAAGTTACAAAAATGTTTATTTTTGGCCCCTAATTCCTTAACTGTTGGTACCATAACCCCCCAAAATCAATCCCAACCTTTCTTTTGTGGTATTGAACCTTATGGTAAAATTTCATAGAGATCTATTTACTTTAACTAAAGTTAGAGTGCGAAAACCAATGCGTCTTCGGACGACGACGACGCCAACATCATACCAATATATACGACCACAAAATTTTTTTGCGGTCGTATAAAAATTAACAATCTTTCTTGGAGTGACAGGACTGAATAATTTTTTCTAAAATTAGTAAAGAAATTCAAAGACATAAATGATTTATTTCTTTAGAAAAGATGTAAAAGTATTGACTTAACAGATTGGTCATAAGTAATTTCAAAGAAACAACTTTAATGAAGTATTTTCTTTCCCTCCCAGTACTTGTTACTGGAGAGCGTATATATCAAAACATTCTGATTTTCAGCAAAATAAGTTTTTCAGTGGTTATTTTCTGTAATTCAGTAGTTGTCTTTTGTTGCTATGTATCATATTTGTTTTTTGTTCATTATTTTGTACATAAATTAGGCCGTTAGTTTTCTCGTTTGAATTATTTTACATTTCGGGGCCTTTTATAGCTGACTATGCAGTATGGTTTTGCTCATTGTTGAAGGCCGTACTGTGACCCATAGTTGTTAATTTCTGTGTCATTTGGTCTCTTGTAGAGAGTTGTCTCATTGGCAATCATACCACATCATCTTATTTTTATATTGTTACTTCATTCATGTCATTAGAACATGATAAAAATTGCCTAATGTTTCATTCATTTATTGCATTAAAAATGTCATATTCCTTTCCAAATCGCTTGTCAAACAGTTTAATTTTGTAAAGAATCCTCTTTTTCTGAGGCAAGTTTATTTAAAAACGGATACTTCATTTGCGGGACATTATATAACACAGAATTTTATTAATTCTTAATTAATTGTAGATAATATAAATTTACATAACTGTGAGTTGAGTTGGTTTTAAAATTGATTCCAGAAAATTTCCAGGACGAATCCTGAATATCTTTGAAATTAGTTAAACTCAAAAATGTTAGAAATCATATGAATTTGAAAATAGAAACCAGACTCAGAAAAAGAAAACATGAATCTAGACATTTTAAATTATTCGGAACTACTCGGCCTTTCTCATTGCACATAGAAAAATGACGGAGTAGTTCCAATTGACCATTTTTAACATCAACATAAAAATGTACCATGAAAATATGTTAGACAAATTAAATATTTAACAGAGGCCGCCGCATTTGACAGACATTTTATGCAGCAAATCAGTAAATCAAGCGTCCTAGAAACGCACAGTAACTTTGAAAGGGCGACATTTGAAGAAATAATGCATTAATTATGTGATTCCGCATCCCAAAACAAACCCTGTAAGTCAAATATATATCATTTTATAATACTTGTATTTTTCATAAAGGGGCCAAATCCACTTTAAATAAAAGTCAGATCAATAGACCAGAACAACTTGGGAATGAGTTGACTAAGGGCCAGACATGAAACCTTTCAATGAAGCCAAAGTAGCGTGGCTAAATCACTCTGGACACAGAATCCCAAAATGGATTAAAGCTAGAACACCGGTGAGCACCTGATAAGTCACAAGACATGGCCACTCACAAGTAAAACAAACATGCAGAATCCTCTGTTAAAAATCAATAACCTTTATGAGTTGATCAGAAAGCACTTGCATCATATTAAAAAACAGTTTTTAATGTTAATATAAAAATGTACTCGCACCTTTTTCTTTCCTTTGTGTAAAGTCCAAATTGACTTGTCATCTAAACCAGGTACTTTTTCAGGACTTATTTCATAACTAAAATCTTTCGTGGGATCTCTTGAAAAGAATGACCACATAATTCAATCTTAAATTATTAGAAATACATTAGAAAACAGTGATACTTGAAATAAGTAACATTTGCTGCTTTCGTGTTTTCGTTTTCGTGTGCGGAAGTTTGAAATTTACGGTTGTCGTAAAATACTTAAAGCCACCTTATATCTTTTCGTGTTCTTTCCTACATTGTATATTGCCACCTATGTTATAACATTTAGATAGTGATTGTTCTACAAGATCGATAAGAAGTACGCTTTACTGAAATATCATTTTGGTGACTACTTTATTTCACGACTTAACTGTTTACATTGACCATCATGGCTGCCAAGGCTTCACTTATTATAAGACTTGTTTCTGCCTCAGTAGCAGTCTCAAACAGAGCTTGTCAAATAATTAGAGATGTTCTCAAGAAAGGAGAATTGGGGATTGTCGAAAAGGTATGTAATTTTTTTAATTATTATAGATTTTTCTTTTTGTCGAGAGTATGGAAATTGACTAAAAAAGTGTCTTTTTTTAATATTTTATGTTCAGACTTGTTTAAACAAATAATTGAAATTAATATATAAGTCAAAAACCCATTACTTTGTTCCTTCAAAAAACATATTTTGATTAAAATGACAATTTAGTGTGACAAAGTTGTGAATAGATGTGCATTATAATTTATATTCGAGACAAGTGTTGATCGGGTTGATTAGGGGGAATGAATCCGGGACCGTTCGCCCTGATTCACGTTCACCCTAGTACCTGTTCGCAATGTTGTATTGCTGCTACCAGAAAATCACTATCTTTAATTTCCACTGTAACACTAGAGTATAGGAGTACAAGGTTATATTTTAATATATAACAACCTGAAAAAATAAAACACAAAATATTAAGATAAAGTTGAATTAGCTATATTTTTCTGTTGGTCAACAGCTGGGACATAATAAATTACGGTGCAGTCTGGTGTATCCGAGCACCTGAGACTTTTGGCTTCTCTTTGGTAATCTCAGAAAACCAATAATCGGATAATATTGTGTGAACAAATTCATGACATACTTTAATTTCAATTCTGCCAACTTTCAATAATGCAAATGCGTGAGATTTGGCCAAAATCGTAAAGATCAAAGAGAAAAAACAATAGATCAAAGGAAAATGCCGCCAAATAAGCATGAAAATGCGTGAGTCTCACGCTAAATGTGTGAGACTTGGCAGCCCTGAGATGTGGTATGAGTGCCAATGAGACAACTCTCCATCAGTGTCACAATTTGTAAAAGTAAACCATTATTGGTCAAAGTACGGCCCTCAACACGGAGCCTTATTTTTTTTTTATGTATGGTTTCACCCTTAAGATTTTGTGTAATATGTGTCCAAAATTAGGGAATCCCTTTTTTGAAAGTTCTTTAAATGTCTGGTGATTTTGCTCATGCCTTCATAAAATAGCTAATTTTGAATACAGGAAAGATTTTATACTTTGAAATATAGTTCAGTTTGAACCAAATAGACAACCAAGGATGCGGAGCAAAATTTATTTCATTTTGATAAAGACTTGACTTAAAATAAAACTAATTTTATCTAATGATGTATTTTTTTTTAATGGAAAATTTCTAAATATGGTTAATCATGAGATTGCAATTATAAATTTATGCTGGAACTTATCAATTTTAATCTTTTTTGTCCCCGGAAGACTGAAACAATTACAAGAACGATTCTTATGTGTTTCATTGCGAATATGACAAAATCAGGTAGTGCACGATATCACCGGCAGCGCGGACACAGAGGATTCTACTGTATCAGTATAATAGTCCCAGGGCAACACGCAGGTCTGCAACCAGAAAGTCACCACACTTAAGGCAGTCGATAATATAACAATGTTTAAAGGTTGGACATTAAGTGCTAAGAATATTGTCCTAAGTTCATATGTAAATACTGACAAGATATTTTGAAGTCTGTAACCTTTTTTTATTTTGAATTCAGGTATTAGGCTACATAAGCACAGCTTCTTTTACCAATATCTGGATCTTTAGATCTGTCAGCAGGGGTTCAAATTAGTGTGGGTCCGAGGTCTGGGACCTGTCTTTTCTAGAAGAGGACTTAATTTTTAAATATAAAAGTCAAGGACCTACATGTACCATACTTTATACTGATGCTTGATACACGACCATTGGTTTCTTATGGAGGACCCTTCACGGTTAAAATTTCCATGGTCCTGGACCTTTCATTATTCAAAGCAAATTTGAAGCCCTGCATCAGTATACATTTTTACATAGTTACTATATTCATGATATTTAGTATCAATGAGTATGTCGCCCTCACTTTTAATTAAATGGTCTGAAATTTTTGAACTTTTCTACTCCCATTTTTTTCTGTTTAGGTCTATACTTTGTCTTTCCCATGTTGATCAATCCCCATGTTCCCTTTTGAATTCTTTGATTAAGGTTTGATCGATGTACACATGATTCATGATATATATTCATTAATAACAAATAAAACTTAAAATTTTTTAAAATTCTTATACAGTTATACTGTATGTACATGTACACATATCTTTTAATTAATGTCTACAAGATAAATTATTACCTCTTTACAACTACATTGCCCATAATTCCAATATATATATAACTTTTAATAATATGATATATAAAAAAAATTTAAAGTGACAATACTATGCCAATGTTGGGCAAACTTGAGATCATTTCCCTCAATCCAGTTCAATCCGGTAAAGAAAGTGTTAATTCACCCGTGTGAAAAAAACTAGGCATACATCATGTACATAGAAAATAATTTATCTTGATACAACTTTTTTTACCTCCACTTTGAAACAGCAATTCCCAATATCTTCATAAACATTCTAGGAATGATGATTTGAATACCCTTCAGAAAGATTCTTTATTGTGTTCTAAATGGGTGGAAGCTAACACATGTTAGCAATGATACAGATTACCAAATACATGTAAAATTTTTGATAACCAGTGTTTTAGAAGGTTATTTGAATGTTATAAACATGATAAGCATTACAGCAATTATTAGTTCATCAGAATGTGTTTGTAATATAGTTACGTGCTCCAACTTCAGTGCAACCCGCAGGTTGTTTTTAGGAGAGGACTAATTTTGTTTTGATTAGGATAAAAAATCAATTAACCATGTTAACAGTTTCTGTTACATTCATCCTGTTCATAAAGAGAAATTCAGAAAGTCTTTTATGTGATTTATTTTAATTATAACAATATTAAATGACATACTGTAAATTCAGATATTTTTGCATGCATTTATTATTGCGATTTTGTCATTTTGGACTAAAATGCGATTTTAATTTTTGCGATATTGAGAAAAATCCTGTTTAATTCATATAAAAAATTTCAAGATGCGAGTTTAAATTATTGCAATTATAACCCTGATGCATTTTTCGCAATAATAAAACATCGCAATAATTTCTGAATTTACAGTATATTATAAAATATTCCAATATTCCTTTGATAATCATGGATAATCAAACATACAGGGTGCATGTACAAAAAATGTATAAATGCCAAATATTCATGAATCAGTATCATTAATTTAACCATGTGTATGAAAGATCAACATAGTGCTTAATATTGTGTGATAGATCACTTTGAAAAGTATACATTGATGCCTATGCATGTTGATTTGTATACTTTTGGATTTGTTTTTTATGCTAGAAAAAGATAATTACAGTAGATTTGATTAAGCTGTTTATTGAAATTTCAGTGATATTTTTCTTTAATTTTCTGCTATCTCATTCTTTGGAGTTCACTATTAACAATACTGATCATGATAATACCAGTACACCTAAAAACACTTTCTAGCTAGCTACATGTAGATATCAAACTCCAGCCAACTACAACCTGGGAACAGTATATATCTAAAGTCAATATATATGTTCCTGCTACAACATATTGCACTAATGAATTTGATTTTGTTAATTGGCCATGTCAGGAATTTTAAGTGTCACATTTATTTAGTTTGGAATTGAATTTCCAATTATTCAAATCTTAATTTCAATTGATTTAAACAACATTTTTCCTAATTCAACATACATCTTTTAAATAGTAAGAATTACCATTTTGCAACAACATGCACAAAAAGTTAAAAGGAGAAAAAAAAAGTCATAAGGTGAAACTCTTGTGTACAATGTTATTAGGTGGAATTCTTATGTACAATGTCATCAGATAAAGTTCTAGAATACAATGACATGCAAATAACAGCATGATGATTAAATGTATTTGGTATCCTACAATGTAAACAGGTAAATTGTAGGTTATAAGGTAGAATTCTGAAGGCTTAAAATTCTAACCATCATATTTAAGTATAAAATGTCCTGGAAGTTAAACCTTTTCTTGCTATTGAGATGACACATTATAATTAGGTATTAGGGATTCTGATGACATACAGATGTACATGTAACTATAAATTGTACTGGAAATTAAACCTTTTCTTTATTGCTGAAAAATAACTTATAATTTTCCATAAGAAAATTATGCACATGATTTCATCCTTCTTTATAGAAGTTGAATATCTGCCTCAGTCCCAAAGTAAAACTAAATTGGTAAAAAAAAATTCTATTTAGATTTATTCTGCTTTCATTCAATGAATGTACAACAACAGTATAATATAACCTTTATCCGGTGCATTACGTTTGCGCCCATTACCATTACATTTGGGCGCAACTTTTGATTACATTTGCATGCATTTATTTGACAGGTAAACACAGGTAATAATACTTATTTATTTATTAATTTATTCAATTATTTACAAGTACAAGTACCCCTTCCTAAGTCCCCTGCTCACCAACGAGAAGGTCGAAGTGGGATTTCGAGCAGGATAAGTCCGTTTTATTATGCACAAGCACTAAACCCTAGAATTATATACAGATAAAAATGTTAAAATGTTAAAACATAGCTAATCCAAAAATTAAAAGTACTGATAGTACATGACTTTACATGTCGGAACGTGCCGAAAATTTGAAGCCAATTGCTTTGAGAAATTAAAGTCTGTTAACTTCTACATCCTGGTATTTTCTGAATTGCTCCATCAAATAATCTGTTTTCTCTTTTTTACTTCTACGCACTACTGCTGGTGTATCAAGTATATTTACTAATTTAAAAGCGATCACTATTCGGTGAAACACTATTCACTCTGAAATATTCGCAATGAAGTTACATGTATGCCTTAAGGAATAACAGGATTTATCACAATCACTTTAATACATTTTGTTTTAGAATTCAATATGGACAATATGTAATTTGAAGATTCAGATTTTCAGATTCTTTATTTCTCAAACACCATATAGTTACAATGGTACAAAGAAGTTCATCAAACTTACATAAACACACAAGATGAGTTAAAAAAAAAAATATAATAAACAGTATAGTGACGAAGAGTGGTGATTAACCAGAAAGGCTCACTTGAAAAGTTATAACCCTGATAAATTTACACATCTTTTTTAATTTTCTTTTAATTTGAATTAACAAATATTTTCAAAATTAATAATTCTTAGTCATATGATGATATTTATTATGAAAATTAACAAATTATAGTCATATTTGTATTTTTATATTATTTTTATTTATATTAACTTTATTTTAACCTGAGTTTACCTGTAAAATAAATGCGTGCAAATCAAATGTAATCAAAAGCTGCCCAAATTCGCGCAAACGTAATGCACCCCCTTTATCAATAGGTTTGTTAAGCCAACAAAAATGATTTAGAGGTCAATTAATTTGGCTTTATAAATGATATTTCAGTTAAATTCTAGGTGGGAAATACCATTTTTATGCCAGGCGGCTGTGGGGGCATTAAGTGTGACCCTTTGTCTGTCTGTCTGTACATCCCAAAATTAGTTTCTGTTCTCCAACTTTAGTTTGCCTCAACCAAATGTTATGAAACTTATACACAATACTTGTTACCGCAAAACACAGATCAAGTTTGAATTTTGGTTGCGTTACTTTTACCATTCTAGAGTTATGTCCCATAAAAATTGCTGAATTTTTTGTTTCTGTTCTCTAACTTAAGTTTGCCTCAACCAAATGTTATGAAACATATACACAATGCTTATTACCATAAAACACAGATCAAGTTTGAATTTGAGTGGCGTCACTTTTACAGTTCTCTAGTTATGTCCCTTTATAACGTTATATGCAAGTGGGGCATCATCTGTGTCCTATGGACACATTCACCATTTATTTACTTAATTCCAGCATGCCATAAGCATAATTTCTTAAATTGTCTGTTTATGAATGTAGAAATTATTAAGAAACTAAATAACTTGAGGTTCCAATTCCCTTAGGCAAATTTGACCATAGATTGATTAGCTATTATTTTAAGGTCCCTTTTGGTCATATACATGTAATGTGGTCTTCGTGTGTTTCTGTACTTATATATCCTTGGCTTTGGAATATTTGGTTTTGAGCATTCCTGATGAAGGTAAACCAAGGAAAGAGCTTCGGATGCATACAATTTGTAAATTGTATATTAATTTTTTGTATATCATAATTTGTAACCTATAAATTACTGTATACATATATCCAGAAATTAGCAGTGCATTTACCATTGCCATTGGTGAAAAGTAGAGAAAATTGCAAGTTTAATTATTACAGGAAATGCTGCATATGAATAATGCTATCATTTGAAAATGCCATTTTTATATTAAATCTATCTGTTTCAATTTTACACAAAAAAATCCATCACAAAAATTTAAATGGTGTATTTGATGTGTATCATTATATATACATGTATACAAATGTATATGATAATTGTTTCAGGGTAAAAATGATTTACAAACAGAAGCAGACAGATCTGCACAGAGATGTATCATAGCATCTCTACATAAACAGTTTCCCAAAGTCTCAATTTTTGGAGAAGAGGTATGTACATTTACAATGCATAATAATATTATTCCCAAGATGTTAAGTACATCAGATAAGTACAAAAACTTAACCACAGGACTTTTAAGAAATAGATTTAATTTGTAGATACTGCTACCATTCTATGCATATATTATTAATGAAATCATTATCCCCATGTATATGTCATTATGATAGAAGTTTTCATATCTATGTCAAGTATTTTTTAACCAGAATGAGTGTTCCTGATAAGTAGATGTTCCAATTTCATGAAAAACAGAAGTCAGTGACTTTGATTGGATGAAAAGTATATTTTTTATTACACCGCACTTGCAACCTTTCACTAGCAATGAGCATAAATTTTTTATCAGTTTGTCAGTATTTTCAAAGGACAAAGCCTTTTGAAAATACACTGTAAAATGCATTTATTTGCTTTTTTATCACTCTACATTAAATTTGAAGATTGTCATACAGCATATTGTGCTTTTAAATGACTTTTAAAGTTGACAAATCTGAAGATCTCCATTGTGTCTTTTCAAATAGGATGACTGTAACATGAACAATCTTGGTTTGACTCGTAGATTGTCTCCCTTTGGTCCATGTCCAAACAAACTACATACAGACTTATCTCCATTGGTATGTAACTGCATTTGCATTGCATGCCTATATGTCCTTCCTGTTAACCTTATATGTTGCTAGTATACATTTATTATATGAAGGAAAACTAAATTGTTCAGTAGAAACAAGATATTATGTTGATAAGTTTGTGACAGAAAAATTTTAGAAAATAGCAACTCTCATAGATGAATCAATATGTAAGGTTTTTATCTCAGGCTACATGTGTTACAGTAATCTCAGTCTCAGGTCATCAAATTATTTTATGCATCATCATTTAGAACTAAGCCCTATACAAATGGTTGAATGAATATATTTAATTCTTAGTTCATGAAAATCTTTGTTTTGTTATATATTTATACTAAAAAGGAATATATGTAAACAGGGATTTGTATAGTGTCACTATACAAATCCTTGTTGTAAAAAACCAGCATGGTAATTCAGAGAGAAAAAATATTTTTTAGGAGTTAATTGCTAATCAGGTAAAACATTTGATAAAAAGTAATGTTGTTGTTTCTATGAGTATGAATTTATGTATATGTTACTGTGACTTTAACTGAAATTACTATTAAAATTGATAAAACAAAAGGAAAAATTGACAAAATGAATTGAAAGAAAACGAAAAATTTGAAATAATAAAACGAAATATATACTGTTTGTTAGACTTTAAAAGGTCTAAAATGTAAATGGAACATGACTGACATTCTCTTAGAAGATAATGGCTCTTGTTCAAACTGTATAGTAGGTTACACATAACTAATGTGTCTGCGGCTCTTTTCAAAAATCTTAAGAGTAAAATTAACTCGTAATTCATACACATTTCAGTATAACTTACGATCAATTTTAATCGTAAGATTTTTTGTGAAAAGTGTCGCTGAACCTTACAACAAATTGAGATTATTAATATTTCAAGGACAGAAAACTAAAGAACAATACTCTTTATCTAGTCCTGGCTAAGGCACAATCAAATGCACAAACCATCAGTACAAGTAAATTCTAAGTATCTCTGAAACTTGACTGAGCGCAAAAAGTATTTGTTAAGTGCAAATACATGATAGACAAGTTTGTAAATCTATATGGATATTGGAAAAATCAAATTTTACAAAATGTGGCACACCAAGAAATAGAGGGAAAACAATCAGAAGATCTTTAAAACAAATATGGTCAAATATAGGGATGAACTCGCATGTCTTCAGAAGGGGAAGCATTTCCTGCTTAAAGTAATCAAATTTACAAAGAATAATTTTTTTTTCATTCCAGAAACAAATAATTTCGCCAAATATCTTTGAATCATAATCTTACAATTGTGTTTTTAAATGCAAGAGAAAGGAAAGGTGTAGTTATCAAGAATATTTAGATAAAGAGTTTGTTCTTTAGTTTGTCTATATAATCTCAGTTTGTTTTAAGGTTCAGACTCAATAGCTATGTGTGACCTAATATACAGTTTTCCACGAGCCATTACTTTCTTAGATAATGTTTGATACCTTTTTATACGACCGCAAAAATGCGGTCGTATATTGGTATCATGTCGTCGTCGTCCGAAGACATTTGGTTTCCGGACAATAACTTTAGTATTAGTAAATAGAAATCTATGAAATTTAAAGATAAGGTTTATAACCACAAAAGGAAGGTTGGGATAGATTTTGGGGGTAATGGTCCCATCAGTTTAGGAATTAGGGGCCAAAAAGGGGCCCAAATAAGCATTTTTCTAGTTTCATGACAATAACTTGTGGAACAGTGTATGGATCTCTCTGAAATTATACAAGTTTCCATACCACAAAGGGATGGTTAGGATTGGCTTTGGGGGGTTATGGCTCAAACCGTTTAGGAATTAGGGCAAAAAAAGGAGAAAAAAACGAGGGTGTTCTGGTTAATGGACAATTACTTAAGTACAAATTACAGTGTAAGGGAGGTAATTCAAATACAACTTTACACTGCTTTTAATTTGTGTATAAAGATTTTTTTATTGTCTTGAGGTGATTAGCTGTCAATTCATTTTTAGAAGTTACTATTTAATAATTTTAAAAATGCTGATTAAGGTAAATTAATTTTAGCTATGATTATGTATGTCATTTTCTATTTAAAGACTTTTATGATGTATTTAAATGGGTTATTATGGTTGCAAACTCCATTGGAAATTTGAATTGAAATTATGACCATGACTGAGGGAAAGAATTTTTTTTTGGAAAAAGGGGGGGGGGGGGTCAATTTTTTCTCCTCAAGATTTCAGAAATCAAAAAATTAAAAAAGGGGGGGGGGTCAATTGGCAACAGCATAGTGTATTGCACAAAAGCAAAAAATTGAATATAAATTCAAATCATATTACCAATTCTTAGTTCTTTGACTACAGTTATTTTGTGTCAGAAACCTATTATGTGTCAAATATTGAATTACAATCCAAATTCAGACCTGTATCAAGGGCGAATATTGTGTCCATTTTTGCCCCAACTGTTCAGGGTTGGACCTCTGCAGTCGTATCCAGCTGCGCTAGGCAAAGCAATTTATTATAGTAGGTCTATCAAACGTCATTGATTTCGTTTCGTTTCATTTTTTGAATGATTTGTTTTGTCTTGTCAACGTTTTGCTATGTTTTGTTCCTGTTTGTTCATTGCGTTTTGTTTTCATTTCTTATTTTAGCACAACTACTTTTTCATTAAGAGTAGACATTTACTTCTATGTGTAATGATAAATTAAATTTTTTTTGCACATTTTACCTGAAAAAGCACAATTTTCCAATTACCTCAGGCCCTGGGATTGGTTACATTGGTTACATCATATGCTCATAGCTTGACTGTTTATTTTTTATTCTTAGCAGTCTGAAGGTTTAACATCATTTGTATTTCAAAGTATGATTACCGATCTTCAAGAATGTTTGAATTAATGACTTAATGTTTTTTTTAGAATAACTTTCATTACATTTACAACTGATACTCATAAATCATTAATTTACTTTTGGTTACAAACAAGAGCAGCACATTACATAGAATTTATAAGTAACCATTTTTCTGTTTTTCTTTTAAATAAATACATTTAAAAGTTATTGATCTAGCATCTGTCTTATGATCGATTAACAAGTAATTAAGAATTGTTTTAATATTCCTTCCAGACATTAGATCCCTCAGAAAAAATTCCAGAAGAAATGTTTGAATTGGGATTTTCAGAAGAAGTTCTTGATCATGACTGTCCAGAATATCTTAAAGATATAAAAGATGAAGAAGTAAGTAAACTGGGTTGCGTTCAATATCGTAGCGGCCACATAGGGCTACGTAGATTTATGACTATTGAACGAGTAGCTAGCCTAGCTGCTATCAATAATTAGCGCAACCCAGTACATAGTTTTCTGTGTTGTGTTATGTAGACTGTTATTTGTCCTTTCAAAGTTTTTCTTTTTGACAGTGGTAATTTTCTGTTTTTCTTCGACTTATGATTTATGAAGTCCCTTTGATATCTCCTTTTTCTTTTTTCTTATAAACACATTCAATTTTAAAACATGTTTGTTTATGCCAAATGTTTTTGTTCATTGTAAAAATATTTCATATATTGCTTTTTAAAGCAGCACAGTTTGTTTAGTGGATTATATGATTTAATTTCATTTATGGTTAAAATAAAGAAAAATTATGCCCTTGCTGTCACTTTCTAAATATATATGCAAATTTCAAGAGTTATGCATTTGACCTTAATGATGCAAGTACACAACAACAAACAGTTTCATTGCTTTGCACAGTCACACATTCAGAAAATTATCCTAGATATCAGTTTGAGGTACACTTCATGTTTGTAACCAATCCTTCACAAAAATGGACTTTTTTGTCCATGGGTCAGACATGACCATCTCACAGTTATGTATCAGAATCACAGAAATATCTGTTGGTAAAATGACCAAACTCACATGAAAAATCTTCTGCATCCTTGCACAAATGTCTGATCTCGACAAAATTTAAAGAGCAATTATATTTTACATATGTTTACAGTTTTATTTAGTTTTTATGCCCCCGCCGTAGCGGTGGGGGCATTAAGTTTTACCCTTGTCCGTCTGTACGTACGTACATCCGTCCATACATCCGTCCGTACGTACGTCCGTCCGTACATCCGTCCGTACGTCCCAAAATTTGTTTCTGTTCTCTAACTTGAGTTTGCCTCAATCAAATGTTATGAAACTTATACACAATGCTAATTACCACAAAACACAGATCAAGTTTGAATTTTGGTGGCGTCACTTTAACCGTTCTAGAGTTATGCCCCTTTATAAATGGAAAAATTGTAAAATTTTTAGTTTCCGTTCTCTAACTTAAGTTTGGCTCAACCAAATGTTATGAAACTTATACACAATGCTTATTACCACAAAACACAGATCAGATTTGAATTTTGGTGGCGTCACTTTAAACGTTCTAGATTTATGCCCTTTATAAATGGAAAAATTGCAAAATTTTTAGTTTCCGTTCTCTTACTTAAGTTTGCCTCAACCAAATGTTATGAAACTTATACACAATGCTTATTACCACAAAACACAGATCAAGTTCGAATTTTGGTTGCATCACTTTAACCGTTCTAGAGTTATGCCCCTTTATAAATGGAAAAATTGCAAAATTTTTGTTTTCTTCTAAATATCAAGTAATTTTTGAAATTGGAGTTATCTTCCTTTGTCCATGATTATAGTTGAATCAACTACAATCAATGCTTTATAAAATACAATGTTTAATTTTGACTTCCACTGATAAAACACAGATCAAGTTGAATTTGGGTAGTGTCACTTTAACCATTATTGAGTTATGCCCCTTTATAAATGGAAAGATTGCAAAATTTTTAGTTTCCATTCTGGAACTTAAGTTTGCCCCAACCAAACATTATGAAACCTATACACAATATTCATTACCACAAAATTAAGATCAAGTACAAATTTTTTGTTTCCGTTTTCTAACTTTAGTTTGCCTCAACCAAATGTTATGAAACTTATACACAATGCTTATTACTACATAATACAGATCAAGTACGAAATTGGTGGCGACACTTTTACCATTCTTGAGTTATGTCCTTTATAAACATAAAAAATGCTGAATTTTTCATTTCCGTTCTCTAACTTTAGTTTGTCTCAACCTAATGTTATAAAACTTATACACAACCATTTTAGAGTTATGCGTGTTTACAAATAGAAAAATTGCTGAATTTTTAGTTTCTGTTCTCTACTTAAGTTAGCCTCAACCAAATGTTCTGAGACTTACAATGCTTATTACCACAAAACTCAGATCAAGTTCAAATTTAGGTAGCGTCACTTTTACCGTTCTTCAGTTATGTCTCTTTATAACTATATGATATGCAAGCGGGGGCATCATCTGTGTCCACATGTGGACACTATCCACATTTATTTCCTTACATATATACATTTTCCTTTACTTTAGATAGTTATATGGGTAGACCCTCTTGATGGAACAGCTGAGTATACACAGGGTAAGTTGTTTTTTCAACTTAACTTCCTTTCTACTGTTATGGTCTTGTCTGATATATATCTAACTCAATAAAAGGTATTTAAATCTTATTGCTGTATATGGTAGTAGATAGACTATGGTAAATGTCCTTCAAACGTGATTCAGTTGGAGAGTGAGGAGGCTTAGAGTAAGCAACAATAAACTCTTTCAACATAAACCTGATTAGTTATTGCTATACTAAATTTTGCATACAAATAAAAGACAAATGTAGATACAAGTTGGGCTTCATATATTTGTCTGAGAGACATTATATAAAATAAGCAGCCAATTAACTTGAAACAAATAAGTCTTTGCTCTTCAATTTTTTTAAATCGGTGAAACATGTCGACCAATAAAAGATGCAGTTTTCTTAAGTGTTGTTGTCAATTTAGTGGTATTTAATCTTTTTATCTGACAACCCTGCATACCATCTGGTATCCACTTAAGGGAACTCTACCAGCACAAAACATAGGAGGCGTTGGTTCAGCAGCACTTTATTTATTAATTTTTCAGTTTATACAAAATTAATTTATATTTTTCAGGTTTATTAGATCATGTGACCTGTCTGATTGGTATTTCAGCAAGAGGTCATTCAGTAGCAGGCATCATAAATCAGCCATTTTATAATTATAAAGCTGGACCAGATGCAGAATTAGGCAGATGTATTTGGGGGGTTATTGGTTTAGGTAAGGTTTTAGGTTTTAGGTTTATGCAAACTTCTCCTATTATCCTCTTGTTTTTATATCCCCGCCATTAGTCAAAGGGGGCATTAAGTGTTACCCTTGATCGTCCTTCTGTCCTTCCATCCGTCCCATTTTCGTTTCCGCACTCTTAACTTAAGTTTTCCTCATTCTAATTTCATGAAACTCATACACAATGCGAAGAACCAAAACTCACAAATAGAGTACGAATTTTGGCAATGAGTCACTTACCATTCTAGAGTTATGCCCTTTATGAAACGTTTATGAAACTCATAAACAATGATAAGCACAATGCTCAGATTTTTCGTTCCTGAACTCTAACAACAAATTTAATGTTGAACTTGTCCAACGGCTATATGACATTCACAGAACTTAGAAATTCACTGGACACAACAGAACTTATCAGAAAACTTATTACATAAGAAATAAAAACAAAACAGAGAAAAAATATGAAAAGAACACACAGCAAAAAAATACCTAGGACTAAAAGAATAGAATTCTTTAAAAACTAGCGGTGACATCAAATGCTCTTAAAAGTATTTTCACCTATTATAAGCAAGCTTGAGCGGGGGCATTCGTGTCTTCCAACACATTCTTCTTTTATCTTACTAAAGTTTTTATGGTGATCGACATAGTGATCAACAGTGCAGAATTATAGGTCATTTAGAACCTGAGACCTTAACTTTGATGTTAAACTTAAAATTCTTACCGAATTTAGGGAACTGTGAAGTTTTTGTCATACTATTTTATCTAAACTTATGACACATGGTCTGAATTTCTATGAGGTATCTTCACATTAAACTATATTGCTGTATATAAAGAGCTGTCTTATGGTATAAATGCAGGGATCTCCATGGATGAAAATTCACCATGACAAAACCAAGTGCGTCCTGATCAACATTATTTTATTGCTCCATTTCATTGTAAGGAATAGTAAATAGACTGATATGTTGTTTATTTGACTTATTTCATTATAGAATAACCAATATTTTCATTTGTAATTTTTCAAATATCTTAGTCAAGGATGACCACACTTCAGCTCTCCTATTTGGGTGAAAATCTTTGTCTGTCAGCACTTTCCTGAGACTTTCTCTCACTGTTTTTGGACATTTTGTTAGGACATAAAAATCAGAATCATTTTTCTCACGCTCAAATTTAAATCAGAAGTCACGAACTTATACCTTAAATTTGCTGCATCAAGTACTCATTTTTTGTAAAACGTCAAATAAATATTTGTGGAGGGCAATAGTTTAACACTAAAATGATTTTAATGACCTAATATTGTAAATGCCATAGCAATAGACCATGCAACTTGCATCTTTCGATTCTGAATAAAAACTGGATGTTTTAGATTGATTGTAAACTAAGAAATAAATTTCAGAATTACTATTCGAAATTTCTTCAGATTATCAAGGGGTAGTTAGTTTTCATGTATTTACTTTGTACACTTGTAAAGTTATTCAATTTGATCGATATTGTCATTCTTGTGTATTTTTACATGAAATCATTTTCTGTTTCATCATTAAGAGTCTAATTTTGTACTCATTTAAAAAGGGAGTGCATATTACGTATGTTAATAAAACCATGTGTTCGACTTGCTAAAACTTTGTTCTTTGCATTGGCTATAGACATAATTTGATGGTACTCATAAAGTTCTCTCTGACTTCTTTGAAATGAACCAATAAAACCACATACTTGATGTTACTAAAATGCTAACCAACGAAAACCAATAAATCCACTGTTATTGTGGAAAATAACTGCAAAAGTGTTCAGACATTATCTTATTACTGTTAATGACATTTCATACAAAAGCTGTAAAGGGGGAAAAATAGTGTTTTTCTTTATAAATGTAAGAAAAGTTTATTTCTCACAGTATATAGTTTAATGGGGAATAATAGATGCATATAGTTGTAAAAGAATTTTTTATTGTCATCATACCATTGTTTCCCTGAGAGGAAATATACTGCTAATCTTTGAAAAGTTTATGGCGAAATAGTAATAATACTTTTATTCAGAAGTAATACAGCTTATAGAATATACATTTTTACATTAATTTTTAAAAGCATCAGTGTAATATTTATAACAATAATTATACAAAATACACATATGGCGGAGAATGACAATAAATTCATATGGTAAATAAGGAAAACAACTACATATTACGGATTTTTTCGATATTGAACAAATATTTACCTAAATTATTAAGTTCTTTCACATTGTGAACTGATAACAACTGTATAAGTTTAAAAGTGGATGGATTTTGCCAATAATATTTCTTAATATATTGTTTTCTTACATCACTATACCTTTTACATTCTAAAATAAAATGGTATTCATCTTCAACAATATTGCTATTGCACATAGTACATAATCTGTTTTCTCTATCTACATTGTAATATCTGCCTGTCTCTATATCTGGCTATGGGCAGACATACAATATTCACATATATAAGGTTTATATATTTGATTAACAGGTCTATCTAAATAAAATTGCAATATATATGTGTCTTATATATATCTATAAAGTATACATTTAGATGAATTGTTAAAAAAAGCATTAACACCAGTAATAAAGGTATCTTTCATTCTTTGTATAAATATATCAACACTATTTACGCTTTTTTTTAGCCATACATAATGAAAACCATATCTACATAAAATATCTCTGACTGAGCATGCCCAATTCAATTTGTCTTTGGGTTTTTTAAATGAACTCTCCAACATATCTTCATAACATGCTTTAAGTATACAGTTATCAGTATTTAATATTTTGAACCAAAACTGGATCATTCTTCTGTGTCTTTCATAATACATTGGGTAACGTCCCAATTCACAGTAAACCATGTTATTAACAGCAGTTTTTCGAACCTTTAGAATTTTTAAAAAAAATTACAAATGTACTTTCTCTATATCATCAGCTTTATGATTACCCCACACTTCACAGCTATAATTAAGAATACTAAATACATAAGTATCAAATAAGGACAGTAACCTTTCACAGTTATAATAATCATCTACAATTTTACTACATAAAGCAAAAACAGCCTTTCTACCTTGATTGATCTTAAACATAAAACGACTGTTCTTCAACATAACCAGACCTTCACATTTTTTTGTATTTGTAGGGTCATTTGGATTCACCAGAGATGTGTTACCTAAAGATGAATTCATTGTCACAACCTCTAGATCTCATTCTGACCGACTAGTAACAGAAACTGTTGAGGCTTGTGAGCCTACAAGTGTGGTGAGGGTAGGAGGGGCTGGTCACAAAGTAAGTACAGCCATTTAGTTATCATATGTAGATATGAGACATCATCTTAATGTTATCAGGTTTTTGGGACAAAACATTAAAAGAAAAATGAATACCTAAAATTACAATGTCTGAACATCCCTCTGAATGCAACCCCTTGAGTGACTTGGAGCAGGGCTTATATGGGGCTGTATGTAAGATTTCATGAATGAAATAAACAGATACAATGACATTAAAGTGTTGTATCCCTGAAAGTCTGTAGTCTTGCAACCTTTATTTCATCTATAAGTAGTTGATTGTTTGAAACATTGTTTTGACATGGTTGGTATGAAAATACAGTCGAACCTCAATGTGTCAAACTCGGTTGTGTCGAAAACTTGGATGAGTCAAAGTAATTTCTCGGTCCTGGTAAAATTCCTGTTTGATCAATGCATAATTACCTCTGATCAGTCGAACTCGGTTGATTGGAAAACTCAGTTAAGTCGAGTAAATTTTAGTCCAGTCAATGTAAAATTAATGTAAATTGACCCTGAGTTCTTGAAGTTCGAAAGTAAGCATTTTCTAAAGATGCAGACCTAATGATAAAAATTCAAATCAGATGTATTTCTTATGTAACCTGATCATTTTCAAAAGAGATTAAAGCTGAGTAAACATACTTGTTTGTATAACAGTTAAAATGACATGTTCGTGATGACCAGTAATTAACACGGTCACCTTTGTTGATCCTCCAAGCGGAATCGTTAGAGTGTTGATCATATTTCACCTGACATAAAACGTAACGAATTTAAATGACGCAAGCCGCGATTAAATGAATCGTTAAAATTAAAATTCATTAATTACAATAAATAAAAGGATTCCGACAATAATAATAAATTTATTATAATTTAATGTAAAGTTTACGACCTCATCAGAGACTGTTCAGATCTTGTTTTGTTCCACGAGTGATTTCATAATTTACAGTGATTGACCTTTGTAAATATTTGTGTATACTATTGATTTTATTTGTGCATGATTTGTATCTGTACTTTTGTGTTCTATTATTATGAGATTGAATAAACAATCATAAAGTGCCATATAGAAAAAAAGCAAACTGTTCACAGTATCTAGTTTACACAAAGCTCATACTGTATTTCATGCTTTCCAAATTTATGACGACACACTTGACCTAGGATGAGTCGAACCTCGGATTAGTCGAAATACTTGGTCCGGTCCCTTCGACTTCGACATAACAAGGTTCGACTGTAATGATTTTATTTTAATTGTCTAATGAATGTATTTCCAGGTTCTATTGCTGATAGAAGGGAAAGTCCATGCATATGTTTTTGCAAGTAAAGGATGTAAGAAATGGGACACATGTGCCCCAGAATCTGTATTGGCAGCAGTTGGTGGACGTTTAACTGATATGCATGGTTTAAAAATGTCATATGGTGCAGGAGTTCAACGAAAAAATACAGGTGGCATTCTTGCTACAGTTTCAGATCATGAGTATGTTGTCAACAAAGTTCCAGAACATGTGAAAGAGGTTTTTGATAAAAGCGTTGAGGCCCAAGATTGGCCAGAGTTTGAATTAGCCAGAATACAGCACATGAATGAAAAAGATGTTGACCAAGGTATTAAGAGAAAGAAAACAGACACACCAGATTCTGATTCTAGCAGATCTACAAAAAGTGACTTGTTAGCTGATGAAACTCTGGATACCAAGCTTTAGATAATTAAAATGTCTAGGTTATTTATAAATTTAGGGAAAATTAATTCATTACGTAGGATCATTTTATATATTGATAATTATAAATGTACTAAACAGAAATTAGCTTTAGTGATGCAGTGCATCATAATCATTGTTACAATATAAGAAATAATATACTATTTTTACTTCAATTGTTTTTGCATATTCTAATTTTATTTTTGTTGTAAAAATTTACTACGTATGTATTGCCAAACTTTTGTTTCTTATGTACCTGTTGTTGTGTATTATATTTTTCTATATATCTGTATAAAAATTGTTAGTTTTCTAATTTTTTATTCAAATGAAGATAGATATCATTTCTCAAAGATGTCATATTATAATAGTTATACTGCTGCAAATCAAATTAATGTCTGAAAATTATATATAAAATAAAAATTTAATGAATAATAAGGAGATAAAAAATAAAACGAAAATATACTATACTATAAAAAATAAAGATATAGGTATTGTAAGTTTTTTTAATTAAGTCATCTAGTCAAATAAGCTACCTTAGTTTTGTTGTAGAACATTTGTAAGTAATCTCACAAAACTGAACTCCTTTTAAACATCGTTATATATGCATGGTTTCTGATTTGGTTATAACCTGTGTAAAAAATGACTAACAAATGGTGGAGGACCTTCTACACATATTTTTATTTGGCAGTAACATAAGGGAAATTAAGTTGTTAAATTTTTTCTGAGACATTTTTGTGAATATTAACCAATCTGTGAGAAAGAAGTCTGAATAAATTCAAACCATTCTATATATTTTTTGGTTTTGGAAAAACATGCAGAGACAATTTATGAAATAGACAATCTTACTTAGTTTGATAATTTCTGTAACAATGAAGAAATCAACAGAGAAACCAGTTTTGATTTATGTATGTTATTTGTAAAAAAAATATCACTGTGCCAAGAAAATCACATCTTAGTACTGCATTATATGGGTGATTGAGAAATATTTATGCTTTTGTTTTATCTTTTATCAATAAGTTACATTTTGAAAAAAAAAAAAAAAAATCAAAGTCACAATTTATTTTTCTTAAAGTTTGGCTTAAATATCACATTACTGCCTAGAATTGACAGCTTATAATGGTTTTACCATTTAAAAGTTTCCCCACAATATCAACTGTAAGTTTTAAAATTAATGTTAGAATTTGTGCTTCCATTTATTAACTTATTTAAGGCTTTTCAATTTTCAAAATTAAATGCAAGAACTTAACTGTTTTTATACGCCCGTTTACGGGACGTATTATGGTATACCGTTGTCAGTCCGTCGTCTGTCCGTCCGTCCGTTGTCAACATGTCGGACATTAACTCAAAAACGCTTTAACCAATTTGCATGAAACTTTAGTGAATTGTTTATATCTATTGACATGAGCTCCCTTTTGATTTAAATAAATTTTAGATTGTACTTTTCCGAGTTATGGGGCTTTATTCATTATAAAAAGGGGGATTTTCCAGTTTTCAAACAATAACTCAGAAATGCTTTTACCAATTTATAAATTTGATAAGACAGTTTTAAAAATTGCCAATGAATTTTATATTTTACTTGGAATTGTTCCTTAATAGTTTTATTTATTCTCCATACAGACATAGTATTTTAGTTGTGACAGGGAAATGACCACTCACTTTCTGTTTGGGACTCATAATTTTTACACGTCCTACCTGCTATGATGTCAGAATGTTTGTTTTTCTTTAGTATCATACAAAGATATGATTGTATTAATATATTCATGCTTATATTTACATGTAATGAATCCGAAATACAGCAAATTCATAAATATCAGCATTATTTGGTGACATAATAAACTGCTAATGTTTATCAACTCAATGAATACAATAATTACATCATAGTTACCAGTACTTTTGAAAAGGGCATTTTAGTGGTATAAAAACTGCCCAAGAAATCATATTTTTTGTTGCTCCAGTCATTAAATTCAATGAAAACAATGCCTTCAAGTAGTTGCTAAATTATAGTGTCAGTATTTAATGTAAATTGTACAGTGAAATTTGTAGGGGAAATGTTTATAAACAAAATTACAATAGAATCTGAATCTGTTATAGATTATTTATCGAGATAATTGTAAACATAATTCATTAGAATGTGAATATGAATATCAATCCATATTAAAAGGTTAATAGAAGTATTTTGGTAGCAGTGAGTCTGACATTTGATTACATGCTACTAGTATAAATAATGTTTATAAAACATATTAAAAGAAAAATCTCATGCAAGTCATTAACAATTCAGTAAGACTAATGATAATTTTTGGTATGAAATTTTTTCCTGAAGATTGTTCTTTGAAGAAAAGATAACATTAGGGATAAGTAATGGTAGGATATTTTTTATTTCTATAGGAAGATGCAGTTTATATCTTATGTATTGTGTCTTATAAATTTAAGTAAAAAAACATGCATTACATCCACTTTTATTCATACATTAATTTCATATTTTACTATATATGTCAAGGAAGGAAAGAAAGATTTATTTATTTTTATGTGTTGCATTGACATGAAGATAGATTGAACTCGTAATAATTAGGTTTGATAGATAATAGTCTATTGGCCAATTCCATAATTGACTTATTAATGAGAGATCCATTTGTACAAGTTATTACTCTTCAGAGGGACATACAATTTCAGTGCTAATGAAGAGCATACAGAAAGAGCAAATTTATCTGCGTGTTATGTGTGTAATCTGAAAGTTTTTCAAATCTTTGAAATACATTTAAACTTTTGTTAAACCAAAAACATATGATATCAGTAGGTATTTTTCAATTAAAATTGGTTTGTCCAGATAAGAACCAGTCTAAATTGGCAAAGTATACAACTTGTGTTCTAAAAGTGTAATAACAGAATCAAATCAGTAATTGACAAATAGATATAAGAAGATGTGGTATGAGTGCCAATGAGACAACTCTCCATCCAAGTAAAAATTTATAAAAGTAAACCATTATAGGTCAAAGTACGGTCTTCCACACGGAGCCTTGGCTCACACCGAACAGCAAGCTATAAAGGGCCCCAAAATTTACTAGTGTAAAACCATTCAAATGGGAAATAGACAATTAGCAACAATACATATCAGTTTAATATTATTATTTAAATTAGTATGGGAGTATTCAATCATCTTGATTCACAAATTATGGCTTTGATTTTAACTGAAATATGCAAATTTTAATTAAGAAATAGAACCTTTTAATGGGACATTTCATTTAAGTCAAGACATTCATTTGATTGTATCATATGGTAGTTGCCTACTAGTTGGTGGTAATTGTGAAATATATAAAAAAAAAAAGCCTCATAAGGAAATATAACTCAGATAGTTTTATATTGAAATAAAATAATTTGTTGTAAATTTATGTTTTAATATGCTGCAAAAATATGAGTTCAGAGGCCCACTTTTTTCTTGTTATTTCCCGAGAGCATTTTATAAGTGCTATCTGCACATATTTTATCTTCAAAAATCCATCATTTAGGTTTTTTTTATAGTCCCATATAAGTTCCTTTTCATGAATATTTTGTACAAAATATGAGAATTCTATCAGCCTTTAGCTTGAAGACAAGCATTGTGATCTATATTTTTTCTTATATTTTGAAAAGAAGCACGATATAGATTACATTTTGACAAAGTACAGAATAATTCTTATTTAATGTTTACTCTCATACTACCTTAAATGACAAAGCAGGAAGACCTACAACAAAGTCAATATTAGACTAAATTATAACAAATTAAATGTAAGCTGGCATGTCAGTTAACTGCTAGTAGTCTGTTGTTATTTATGTATTATTGTCATTTTGTTTATTTTCTTTGGTTACATCTTCTGACATCAGACTCGGACTTCTCTTGAACTGAATTTTAATGTGCGTATTGTTATGCGTTTACTTTTCTACATTGGCTAGAGGTATAGGGGGAGGGTTGAGATCTCATAAACATGTTTAACCCCGCCGCATTTTTGCGCCTGTCCCAAGTCAGGAGCCTCTAGCCTTTGTTAGTCTTGTATTATTTTTAATTTTAGTTTCTTTTGTACAATTTGGAGTTTAGTATGGCGTTCATTATCACTGAACTAGTATATATATTTGTTTAGGGGCCAGCTGAAGGACGCCTCCGGGTGCGGGAATTTCTCGCTGCATTGAAGACCTGTTGGTGGCCTTCTGCTGTTGTCTATTCTGTGGTCGGGTTGTTGTCTCTTTGACACATTCCCCATTTCCATTCTCAATTTTATTTCATGTAATTACAAGGGAACCTATCAAGTTTTTTTTTAGAATGGCATGAAATAGAAAATATTAACCAACACTTATAAGGTTAAAAGTTTGGCAGGAAGTCAAGTTTTGCGAGATTGAGTGCTTTGATTTTATCTACTGTATGGGGCAAGTCATCTAACTCAAATCAAAGTCATATTCATAAGGAACTTTAATCCTTTTTGCTGTACAAAATGTTTCATAACTTATCCCAAAGCTGTTACGGCCATGTGATCATTTTACAAGTAATCATTACTTTTTATATATTTTCTTGTAAAACATTTTATAGCATCATGTTTTACAGCATCCTTTATGTAACTTTTTGTTAAGTTGAAGCAGTCAATTGAGCAATTATAGTTTCATTATTCTTTGTTGTTAGTTCAGTATGTCTCAAATAAAGAAAACATTCCAGAAGTAGTTGCCAAATATGTTCAGTTATCATTTTGCAATCATCTTTATATTCCAGGGAAATGTCAATTGATCTGAATCTGTATATCTATCTGAATACATCTTGATGTATTAACAAAACAATGAGAAATAAATAACTACTGTAAAGTTGCATGCTTTGTTTTTCTACATGAAAAGCTTTATTCAACTTTTCAATTTCATAGTTTATTTGGCCTATTAACCTTTTTACTGAGTGTCGTTGATGAGTCTTTTGTAGGCAAAGCATGCATCTGCTGTACAAAATTATAGCCTGGTATCTTTGATGAGTTTTTTTTCATACACATAACAGTTTTAACTTCAATAATAATATCTTTAGGCTGCATGTTATCACCTAAGAAATTTCAACATTTAAAATTTCATCCTTGATTTTGATGCTTTGAGTACCAGTCATCAACATGTGCATGCATGTCTGCAACAAATTGTGAGAAGCTAAAAAAATATTGCCATATAATAAGGTGTGTAGATGCATACTTGTGATACAACTTTACAGTTCTTTTGACTATTTTTTTTAAAAACTTTTAAACTTTTTTTCTTTCTTAATCCACAGTCAGTCGTTAAACCCCCACCCCCACACACACTCCTTTACACTCCAGGAGAACAAGAGACCACAGAGTCAGTTTAACAGGAAAACACAAAAAAACAAAAATACCATTCTACTTTGATAGTAGAATAACCTTTACCATTAATTAATGCACCTAAATAGAAAAAGAGCTTTCTTCCACAGATTCAAATACAAAGCATTCTCTAGTTTTTGTACGATATTGGAACACACACACAAGGACATAACATCATATGTCCCGATGATGACAGATGTATGAAAAAGAAATCATAAGGATCATCATGAATATTTGAAAATACAACAAACGCTAAATGTAATTCCATACACCCAATACTGTTGACCTATTGCTTATAGAATCCGAGAAACAGAACTAACTACAAAAACTTATCATTGAACAATGAACCGTACAAATGGGTCAAGGTCAGATGAATCCCGTCAGACAGGTATGTACACCTTACAATCATTCCATACAACAAATATAGTTGACCTTTTGCTTATAGAATTTGAGAAATTGACCTAAGGGAGCTACCATTTGATTTTTATGGGGGGGGGGGGGGGGGGGGCTAGGATGAAATTTGAAAAAAATAGGCAGGACAGGAGTTTTGAGTAAAAAAAAAAGTCAGGATGAGACACTTGCAAAAAAAAAAAGTCAGGATGACAATTTAGGTAAAAAAAGTCAGGATAAACTTTAAAAAAAAAATCCAGGACCGAATAAGAGTGAAAAATAAAAAGGCAGGACAGAGATTACAACTAAAAAAAAAATGCAGGACAAAATTTTTCATCCTAGCTACCCCCCATAAAAATCAAATGGTAGCTCCCTAACTACAAAAATTAAAACATTGACCAATGAACTGTGAAAGTGAGGTCAAGATGAACCCTGCCAGACAGGCATGGAATCTAACAATCATTCCATGCACCAAATATAGTTGACCTTTTGCTTATTGTGTTTGAGAAGACATAACCACACAAATACAAAATTGACATACATTTATTAAAATTACTTCAAGGTCAGTTGAACCCTTCCAGAGGGATGTACACCTCACAATCATTCAATACACCAGATATTGTTGACATTGTACATTATAATATTATCTAAGATACAGTCTAAACTACAGAATCATACTTTGATCACAGTATTCACTGATCCATGAAATGAGGTCAAGTTCAGTTGAACCATGTCTGACAATCATGAAGACCTTGCAATCAAAAGTGTGATGTCTATTAAAAATAAGATGTGAACAGGCTATTATTTGAACTTGGAATTATTTTTAATTATGGAATTTGCATAATTTCATGTTTGAAATTTTTGATAAATTCCATGTTTATTAAGTTTTATTATGTTTTGAGCGGTGCATAACACTTTCCACACAATGTATTTTGTATAGATAGTGTTGTACGCAGCACAGAACATTATAATACAGAATAAACATGGAATTCATTAAAAATTTCAAGCACAAGAAATAATAGCCTGTTTGTGGTATAATTGCCAATTAGACAACACTCCACCTGAGACAAAATTACATAGAAGTTAACAACTATAGGTCAACGAACAGCCTTCAACAATGAACAAAACCCATAATGCATAGTCAGATGTAAAAGGCCCCGAAATGACAAATATGCAAAACAATTAATGAAAAAACAAATATGATATACAGCAACAAACGACCACCACTGAATTACAGGCTCCTGACTTGAGTCAGGCACATCTTTCCTACTTCACATATCCTAATTGATTTTTATGTTGAAATTTTTAATACCGGTATCAAGGTTCAACTGTCAATATCCCAGAAACTTACAATCCCATCAAAACAACAAATATAGTTGACCTACTGCTAATAGTATTTTAGAAATGGACCTAGACACACAAACTAAACTCTGACCAATGAACCATCAAAGTAAGGTAAAGGTCAAAGGCCCTACCAGACAGACTTATAACCTAACAATCTTTCCAAGCACCAAAATAGTTGACCGAATTCTCATAATAACTCAGCAAATGAAAAATTTTAAGCAGTTGATGAACCATGATATTAAGGTCAAAGATAATGGACATTAGGTCCGGGAACACAGTTATCGTCCCTTGATTTTCGTTGTCCTTATAGTCCTTAGTGTGGACAGTGTGTTACTTGCCATTTTTTTTATACCTCTTCCAAATGTATTTCTTCATGTTTTATGCCTCAAATAGCAAGTAGGGGGATGAAATTACACTGTAAAAAAATTTGGGTCATGAATTTTTAAGTAAAGTAGTGAATTGGTCCAGCTGAAAAGCTGAAAAAGGTTAAAAATTAGCACTTTGGAAGCTGTCAAAGATTTCAAGACCCCCTTAACATGAAATTGTCCATATTTTGAGTTAGAGGCTAGAGCCGATGAAGTTTTCTATAATTTTGATATAATTTGTCCCAAAAGTAGTACAACACACTGTAAAAATATTGTTGAGAAAGCGCAGGTGGGATTTTTTTATTTTCATTTATTGTCTAAAAGAAATGCACTACGAAACTTTCACGTCGGATTTCTACAACAAATTTTCTTTCATGGCATACAGGTAAAGGGAGATAATCATTAATTTTTTTTTTAATTACTTTCGTAAATGTATTGAATTTCCCTTATTAAATTACTACTTACAACTGAAATTTACAGATATATTTTTGAAAACAAAATAAAGTAATTGTTTTTGCATTTAATACTGAAATGATGAGAATAAAGAATTCGAAACAATTTTTTGGGGTCATCATTGAGGACAAACTGGGCAACACGATTTTTATTATTCCCTTGATTTATTCAATATGTCAAAGGTCTGTATGCTTAGCAGAATATCGGCCCAGTACTTTGCATATCATACCCAACCAACTGAAATTTGTGAAGCAATTAATCCGTTGCTCAATGACCAGCATGGAATGGAATGATTGTAAAAAATGTAAGGTGCACAAGTCTGTCTGTCACTCACTGTCAGGGTTCATCTGACCTTGACCTCTTCTTCTTCTTCCAGGTAAGGAACCGGATTCAAAACTGAATGATATTGGTTCCGCGCGAAAAACTTTACACAGTGTTGGGCAACACAGAAAGTTCTGTCTTGGCTATTTACAAATTACATTTAAAACGTTCGCAATATTATACAATTAAAATTATGTACAACTGGTGTTTCCTACTTCCTTTCAGAGCATGCCTTAAGGGCAGCTCTGAATCCCTCAACGGTGTTGGCCGATGAAACTGATGTTGGTAAGTTGTTCCAATCCCTGATGGTCCTCGGGAAGAAAGATTGGCCGTAGGCGTCTGTACTTGTTCTTTCTTGGTAGAAGCGGTTTTTACCTCTGGTCCGGTTATCATTTGGGGTTAAATATTGGTGACGGTCTATGTCTATAAGATCATGCTGGATCTTGAATAGCATGCATAGTCTGTTTGTTTTCCTCCGTTCTTCTAAGCTTTCCCATTTTACATTTTTGACCATATTTGTGACACAGCCAGGTGTTCGGTCTGTGTAGTTGTTATTCACAAATTGTGCTGCTCTTTTCTGTACCTGTTCAATTGCCTTGATCTTATTTTGGGTTGTTGGGTCCCATACTGTGCATGCATATTCCACTGCAGGTCTTACCATGGATACATATGCAGCTGCCTTTACAGGTTTTGTACAGCCTTTGAGATTTCTACGTATAAATCCCAACGTTCTATTACCTTTGCCAACTGTATTGTCTATGTGTTTGTCCCAGGTTAGGTTGTTGCTGATGGTTACTCCAAGATATTTGCTCGCTTCCACTGTGTCTATATATAGCTAGAGTATGACCGTGTAGTTGGTATGATGTTTGTATCACTGGTTGATTTTTTGGTGATATTCTAATGACAAGGCATTTTTTGGCATTGAAACTCATCTGCCATTTGTTTTCCCAGTCTTCCAATGCTGATAAGTCTTTCTGGAGAAGTTCACTGTCTGCTTGGTTGGTGATGGTACGAAAGAGAAGGCTGTCATCCGCGAATAATTTGGTCTCTGATGTAGATGCTGTTTCTGGCATGTCGTTAATGTAGGCCAGGAACAGTAATGGACCAAGGACTGTGCCTTGGGGTACACCAGAGAGTACTGGTACTTGTGTGGAGACGGCTCCCTCTATTATTACGCTCTGCTTTCTGTTATGTAGGAAGAAGCGAATCCATTTGTTGGTTTTGGGGTTGACGCCATAGTATGCCAGCTTGTGTAGTAGGCGGTGATGTGGTACCTTGTCAAATGCTTTTGCAAAGTCTAGCAGGATGATGTCTACTTGGCTGCTGCTTTTTAGTTTTAATGCAATGTCGTTGATGGTTATGATGAGTTGGGATTCGCATGATCGTCTTTTGCGGAATCCATGTTGTGCATCAGTTAGTATTTTATTTTTGTCAAAGTGGTCCATGATGATGCTATGTACAATATGTTCTAAGACCTTACATGTGATGGAAGTTAGAGATACTGGTCTGTAATTAGATGCTAAGTGCCTTTCGTCTTTTTTGAAAAGTGGAACTACATGGGCATCTCTCCAATCTTGCGGGACTTCGCCAGTGTTCAATGATGCTTGGTATAGGACTGTGAGTATAGGAGCAAGTTGTTCTGCTGCTGCTTTAAGTATAAAGGATGGTATTGAGTCAGGACCAGTAGCTTTATGAGGTTTCAGGTTTTTTAACAATTTGTGGACTCCGTTGGTGCTAATTTTTATGTCCTTCATGGTGGAGTATGGACTTCTTCCTTTATCTGGGAAGTTATTAAGGTTTTCTTTGGTAAATACTGACTGGAATTGGTCGTTTAGAATGTCAGCTTTGCTCTTGTTGTCACTTTGCAGAAATCCCATTTTGTTTTTTAACGGTGCCACTCCTGTCCATTCTTGACCTTTGCTCTTGATATAAGACCTGAATTTCTTTGCGTTATCTTTATAGTCGGAGCTGACTTCTTCCATATATTTCTTGTTGGCTTGCCGGACTTCCCACTGTACTTCTTGTTGTAGTCTTTTATACCTATCCTTGTCTCTTTTCTTTTTAGTATCTTTTTATCAAACCTCAAATCGGACTACAAGTCCCAGACCTCATATTCATGGTTCATTGGTCAATGTTACATTTTCATGGTTAAGTATGTTTCTCAGATACTATAAACAGTAGGTAAACTATATTTGTTATAAGGAATGATTGCCAAGGCCGTAACTACCATTGAGGCAAGTGAGGCAATTGCCTCACTGAAATTTCGACACTGAATTATTTTTTTTGTGTATTTGTTTATGGTTATTAAATACGAAATATAGTCATTTGTTTTTTCTGTCTCAACCTTAATTTCTGTAACTTGACATCGTTCCTTTTAAATTATTCATCCAAGATATAACTCAGCATCTCAGTCACCGCTTGATGTTTCTCTATTACATTAACCTAGTAACAGATAATCATCATGGATCTCTGGTTAAAAACAGGCTCTTGCAGAAAAACCAAAAGCGATACTGAAGATGAGGAAGGAATAATTCTAGTAAACTAATGGATGTCGTTTGTGATCAGATCACAAACGACATCATTTTAGTTTACTCTCATCACAACAGGTTTTAAGAGTTCCAGTATTGAATATATTTTCGTTGGAACTAATCCAAAAGTTATAAATAGACTGACAAATCAAGTACTGGGGCACTGCATGGGAGCAGTCCTATCTGAGTATTCATTTCCCCGTTTTCCCCAACTTTATTCGTTCTTAAAATTTGAGAGAACATCCCGTATTCCAATTTTGACATTATAGAGGGACGGTAGGACCTTTAAAATGGGATTTCGTGCTTTCTAATAAGGGACTACGGGATTTCGTGTCTTTCAATTCAGGATTTCGGGTTCAGACCCCCTCCTACCCCCTCATTATTGGATTGTCGATATAAAGTATCTTACCACTGACTATTTCCAGAAATAATCTGAAATCACGGACCTACATGTAAACGGCGAAATCTCCAGTCCAATTTCCCTGTATCCATAAAAAAAACAAAAAAATCAATATTACTAGAATAACAAAAAAAGATATAGTTATATCCAATTTCATGTATCCATAACATTAAAAGGTAGCATATGGCAATAAGAAAAACAAAAATAATATTCCTAAAATAACATAAAATGACATAGGGGTACCCCCATATCTCAGTGAATTCAGATGACAAAGATATGATTACCCGATATTCCTGAAGGTGGAATGGCAAAGTAGATCCCAATATACCATGTTCAAGGCTTAAAGCTGAATATTGATATTTAGCTCCTTCCGCAATGAAATGGTTTGAAATCAAACTGTCAAGGTCTCTGGAAATGCCCAGAATGCAGGATTTTACACCATTTATCCCAGACCCCCTACCGAAATTTTTCGCCTCGCTTCGTTTGGCTTCATTTTTTCGCCTCGCTCCACTCTGCGATCATTTCTGCCTCAATAAAATAATATGTCTAGTTATGGCCTTGATTGCAATGTGTACATGTCTGTGTAGCAAAGTTCACCTGACCTTGACCTCATTTTCATGGTGGATTGGTCAAAGTTAACTTTTCATGGTAAGGTCTGTATACAGGTACCATAAGCATATGGTCATCTATATTTGGTGTATGCAACGACCAATTGGTGTACATTTCTGTCTGGTAGAGTTCATCTGACCTTGACTGCATTTTCCTGGTTCAATGGTCAAAGTTAAATTTTCTTTCTTAGGTCTGCTTCTCAGATACTATCACCTATAGGTTAACTATCTTTGGTGTATGGAATGATTATTAGACATACATACATGTATCCGTCTGAATGGTTCATCTGACCTTTGCTCCTTTACAATAGACACTAGACAATATTTATTTGCACAAACACATTTACAGTAAATGTGGCATACAGTATATATCATGAATCTCTAAGACTTTCAACATAAATTCAGTCGTGATCAGTAAAGCAGGCGAGACATTTCAACGTGTGCACACTTGTTCAAATAAGTTATTTGATTTTAAATTTCTTGAAAAAGTAATTTGTTTACAAAGGGGAGTAAAAAAAATAGGTTGTTTCCATTGAAAATTAGAGGGAAATATAATTCAACATTGATTAAGAATGAAAAGTCTTGTTCTTGCAGGGGTGTTGATCAATTTGTTGTGAGCACTTGTCCCTGGGCAAGTAAAACTGTAAATTTGACTTCTGTGGAAAAAGTTACTTGCCCTGAATTTCTAACAAAAATATAAAAGTATTTTACTGTAAGCTTGTATGAATCTCAAAACTGTTTTGTTATAAATATAAATGACATTTGTGATATTTGCTTAAGTGTATAATTAAAAGGATTGATTGATTGGTGTTTAACACCACTTTCACCACTGTTGTGCTATTTTGAGGTGGTCAGTTTTTATTGGTGAAGGAAGCCAGAGAGAACAGAAGAAGGTATGGGGTTAACATCAATGAGACAGAAACCCAACAGCAAAACAACCAAAAGGCCACTAGATGTCAAGTTCCAACATTTTTAAAATGCTACCCAGTAGGGACAATATATATGTACTAAGTTTTGAAGCCAGTGAAAAAATGAAAACTAAATGATAGATCAGCTATTGAATTGTAATTGTATATAATTAATACAATGTTATTTGAAATAAAACCACCAGTTTTATTAAATAAGCTAAAAATGTCAATGAAATTAGTTTTCTCGCTTCTGTTTTTTCCCCTTCATATTCTGTGTCTTTCTCAACCTGAGTTTTCCATTTTGTACTCAACTCAACATTTTTGTTTTCATTCTTTTTGTCTTAATTACCCAGTCTAGGTGTTTTTCTTAGTTATTTATCTGTCTCGATAGAACTCAATCATGAAGAATTAAAAAGACACTTCTGTTAGATGGCAGATAAAACCTAATCATGCAATGATCAATGGACAAAGATAACGAAATGTTTATTAGACCTGGGTTCGCAAACTTATTTTTTTTATTTTGGTTTTCGATCTATTTCCAGTTTTATTTAATACCTCTTGTCTTGAACATAATTTTATGTTTTGACTTAAATAAATGTTTTTCGTGTGTTGATCATTGGTTTCTTTTACATAAAATAGTACAACGTAATATGTTGTGAAAATAATTCTATATTTTTGATTAAATTGAATTTTGTCATGTCTAATTTATTTGCTTGTCCATGGGCAATCCCAAAAAACATACTTGTCTGGATGTTCAAATGTATGAGTCAGGTGAGTCAGGCATAGCATTTCCACACCCCTGTCCTGTATGTTATTATTAGAAATTATTCAAATAGTTTGTTTTTTTATAAAAGTTGAAAAAAAACATGCCCTTACAAAGATGAAAGGTCCCTGCCAGAGTAAAAAGATACCAAGGGCGCAACAAAAACCACAAATTGAAGAAAGGAAGACAAAATCATGGCCAAAAGAAAAAAGATATGAAAAGACAAACAGCAATCCACAAAACACCACACTGAAAACCTAAGATTGAGCAACACAAAACCAATACAACTTGTTACTGGTCTTTATTGGCAATTAACACTGAACACTGAAGTGCATATCAACTTTGATCTTTTCTTTTTATGACTTTTTCTATGTTATGCGGTTAAAGGGTTCAACACAATAATACAAATAGATTTACAGGAGTAAAAATCAATCAAAACTTTCAGATTTTCAGAAAATAAACTTGAAAATATACTAAATTTGTTTTGCCTTGCCATGCTCTGCAACAAAATGGCTTAGCCCCATGAGATAACGAAATTCTGTGACCCACATCTGAAATTGCTCTTTTCTAAGTTTACAATGAGGTTATTAATAAATATCGTTTTTATTGCTGTCACTGGACTTCTTATTTTAAATAAATATTTTTTCTGACCTATTTTAGCACAATGTACATCATGATTTACAGACTTGTTTAATATTTTTTTTCAAATTTTCAGCCAGTTTTGTACTCATACTTCAGAAGCTCCTGTTCATGGAGGGTTAGAATAGGTAAGAAGACTTTAAAAATATTTTCATGACTAAGACAACTTTTACAACAGGAATACAGAAATCATAAATTAGTCAAAAATTTTCTCAGTTTTTTTCACATTTAAAGGGGATAAAGATCATTCCACTGACAGGCATTTGATAACAAAAAGTATACTTCAAACCATATTTTTATGGTAATATTATTTATAAAACAGACAAGTTTAGGAAATTGTTCTACATATCTTTCTTTTCGACTTGATATACATTTGTTTGTACTTATTGATAAATGTTATAATTATACTTTATTGTTAAATCACTGTGTCTGGTATTTATAGTTTATAAATAAACAGTAAAATACATTTGTACTCAGATTTTCATTTTGACGGTTGTACATTGAGATAAAACGTTTTCTTATTTCTGGTGAAGGGTTATTTGTATAATGTTTTTCAGCTTTGTTGATGAAGAAAATTGATTTTGAATACTCAGCTGTACATTTAGTAAAAGATGGAGGACAACAGGTAAACAAACAAATTGTATTGTACAATATTGTTTTTTGTTTGTTTTTTTTTTGCCCCACGTACTATAGAGAATTATGTTTTCCAATTTGTGAGTTTGTCTGTCTGTCGAATATCATGATAAAGTTTTGGATTAATGTAGTTAACAATGAAATTGTTGTCAACGATGAAATTGTAGTCACATCAACTTGAAAGTTAGTGTACATCTTGATTATTGATTATGATATGAACATTTTAGGTCTCCACTGGTCATATATCTCCTCAAATATTCAAGTACTTATACATCTGTGACTATCAAATTTTTTGGTTTTAGTATTCCTGATGAAGGTATATCCAGAAAAACGCTACAGGGGGGGGGGGGAGGGTGAAAATGTCACAAATGCCCCCAAAGTTTGTCTATAGTAGAATTTCAATCAATTTGAGGCAGTGCATTACATTTGCGCGCAAAAATCATTACGTTTGCACGCAGCTTTTGATTACATTTGCACGCATTTATTTTACAGGTAAACTCAGGTAAATACAGGTAAATTATATTTTTATTTACTATGATTTATTTAAAGTACCCCTCCCGTTAATCTAAGTGCCTTGCTCACCAATGAGGAGAAGGAAGGGGGGTTTTGAGCAGGATTAGTCATTGGCGTAGCTTACGTTGAGGCAACCGAGGTAAAAAAAAAAATAAAAAAAATTTTCTTTATAATCTTCTAGACAATTTTCACAAAATGCAGCAGACTCGTTACTTAACGCTTACACACCGACTTGTATTGACTTGTTGCCGTTATTGATTCATACCCTTTGCAAGTTCAAGACTTATGGAAACATTTCCCTCCTCTAATTGGAAATCCCGATCCATTTGCGGTAGTTTTCACTAATCTTAATATGTCAAAGTCAAAGAAATCGATACAATTGAAGCTTGCAAATTTATATAATGCTACCCCAATCAACATCAGTAGAATAGATACAATCCAACTCACGAGCCTTCCCCGATCGAATCACTTGACCATTCAGGTAAATTATTAATTTTGAGGGAGAATAATTTCTAGTAGGTGAGGGTCTACGTGAGGTTTACCGAATACAGAAAAATGCCCTGAAATTAATTTAAACTTAACAGAATAGAGATTATAAATGGTGCTAAATATAAAAGAAAGGAAAATCATAATTACAAAAATAAATATTTGAAGACCCCCATTCAAACCCTCATATATAACCGATTACGTCTAAAATTGAAATCGTTGTGTGTTGACATTTTCCCCTACTGTAGTACTTCAATTAGTACACATAGTTTCATTAACTTTGAAACCAATTAAAATAAAATATTCAAATATTAATCAACATGCACATAGAATAACTTGTATGTTGTACTAAAGTTTTATTCTCACTATTTTAAATTTATAGTTTTTCACTAGCAGGGAATTTTAAATAATTAAATGAGTCATTATAATTCCAGCGACATGAATTGTAAATATGTCTGTTAGTTCATACATGTCAGTTTCTATATAAAATTTTCAACCAAATACTGTTTTTATTTATTATGAAGACTTCAGAAAAACGTAAATGTTTCCGTTAGTACGTCATCGGTTGTCACTTTCAAAATTGGAAAAAGTACAAAACCATGTAAGAATTTGAAGAACTTCTAAGAAATATCAGGACAAAAAACAACCAATAAAAGTGCCATGGTGCACTTTACATTTAGCATGTGTTTGTTTCCTAGTTAATCAAGTAATGGTGCTAGCGTGATGTCTGGTAATGTTTCTGGTTTTAAAACACACATAGTGCAAATCCAACTAAGAGCATATTATCAGCATTGTAGAACTCACTTTTTGAATCTTGTTGTTGCATCCACTTGTAAAGCGCTAGCTGAGATCCGGAATTTGTTAGATTCTGTAAGTCAGCTGTGGATCACAGCTGTATTGTTGACTTGCTGAAGTTGCTGTGTCATTAAAGTATACCCCATACCCATCTCCTTTTATTTGTAAAGAATTTAAAATCTGTGAAGTTCACTGAAAGGATTCAATTTGAAAGAAAGTGGTAAATATTTTTGAGAACATTTATGTATTCATCTGAACATTGAAAATGATGTAGGTACCAGTAATCAACTAATAATCTGTAGTATAACTCAGTGTAAGGCATATTAACATTATTATGATGAAGTAAGATAAAACAACTGCTATTTTTTAATAGAATCTTCTTGTTCAAATTTCAAAACCTCTACAGATTCTGGGGGCCTGCGCCCCCCAGACCCTGTGCCTCGGTAATAACATAAGGCAAGCTACGCCACTGTTAGTTCGTTGTATTATGCACAAGCACCAAGTCCTGGAAATATATGCAGATGAAATTGTAAAACCATAGCAAATCCGAAGAGTAAAAGTGCCAGTTATACCTGTTGGTACGTGCTGAATATTTGAAGCCAACTGGTTTAAGAAATTAAATTCATTCAAATACTCCGAGTCTATTCTAGTATTATCGCAGTTACTCCATCAAATACTCATTTTTTTTCTGACTTCCACGTACAACTGCTGGTGTTTCAAGCCCTCTTAGTTTGATATATCTGATAGTTTTCAAATTTTAAAATAATGTCATGAAACACATAAATACATGGATAATCACTTAATATATATTTTTTTCGAATTAATATGAAATATATATATAATTTGTAATGAATAATATGTTCAAAATTAATAACTATCGACATATTTATTATCTGTATATTTATCTGTATTACCTGTAAAATAAATGCGCGTAAATGTAATCAAAAGCTGCGCGCAAATGTAAAAAATTTTAATCCCCAAATGCGCGCAAATGTAATGCACCCATTTGGGGAATATCTTTTCTGAAACCATTGACATTAATCTGTCAAAAGATCAAATGCATTTCACCTCATTTTCCATAAAACTGAAAGGAAAATTTTTGAGGGTAAAAAATTTGTTGGAAAACATAGCAATAATTTTTGGACCTATGACTGGTATGGATGTGAAAATATGGACTGTCAAAAAGAAAATGTCCTATAAAATATGAAAAAAACTATCTTGATGTTCATATAAACCCACTTTGAAGGCTATACTATTCTTCAGCTATCTGAAAATTAATTTTATTGCATATAACTTTCATATTTAAAAAATTCACGACAGCCAAAATGCGAAACCAAACTCCAAATTGTGTATTGCTACCTTATAAGTGTTATTTTAATTTCAAATTAGGGTTTGAACCTAGATTTTGTAGTGTACTGATCAAGTTAAAGTTTTGGTTTAGGGTAGGTTTAAAGTTGTGGTTAATGAATAGGTTATAGTTCTGGTTTAAGGTAGATTTAAGTTTTTGTTTAAGGTAGTTTTCCATGAAATTGCAGTCACATCAATTTGAAATTTTTGTTATGATGTGAACTTTTAAAAATCAATACCAAATTAGCCTTTGAACTCAGTTTTGCAGGTTCATTGAATATGAAAATATGATTATGTGAGCGGGGCATGGTGTCCTATAGACACATATTCTTGTTGTTTGAATATTGTTTCTAGGATGGAATTTTGATTTATTTCAAGCTTGATATATCTTTTAGTTAAATGTTTATATTGAGGAGAAACAGTACAAGGAAAGGTCATTTTCATTTTAAACTCGCTTATAGATGACATTTAGAATTTTTCTTCTTTTTAAAGAATGGTAAAAACAAAAAGTTTTTCATTATTTTTTCTATTTATTGCAAAAGATGATAAATGAATAAGTAACATTAGTTACAATTCACATTTTTAATTTTGATAATTTCTTTTGTGTTTTTTGTTTGAATTCACAGTATTTGAATCTTCAAAAGAATTTCTGGAATTGAAAAAAACTGAAAATTACTTTTCACAGTTTGTACCAAACACTATTATAGAATACTTTGTATAAAATTAACGTAAAAGGAAATCTTAATTCATTTATAATAATAATTTTAAAATATACAAAAGCAGATGTGAGGTTTACTTAAATGAGACAACAGAAACCCAGCAATGAAATAAAATAGACTAATATTACAGAGATCAGAAGAATACAGTACTATCAATCCCATGCAGCAAGTTCCTACTCTAGTCATCAATGGTCAAAAAATATCACAATCAGTAAGTATCAATGGTTCAATTGTCAGCCATTATCACAACCAGTAAGTATCAATGATAAGCCTTTATCACAATCAGTAAGTATCAATGGTCAGTCATTATCACAATCAGTAAGTATCAATGGTCAGCTTTTATCACAATCAGTAAGTATCAATGGTCAGCCAATATCACAATCAGTAAGTATCAATGGTCAACCATTATCACAACCAGTAAGTATCAATGATAAGCCTTTATCACAATCAGTAAGTATCAATGGTCAGCCATTATCACAATCAGTAAGTATCAATGGTCAGCCATTATCACAATCAGTAAGTATCAATGGTCAGCCATTATCACAATCAGTAAGTATCAATGGTCAGCCAATATCAAAATTAGTAAGTATCAATGGTCAGCCATTATCACAATCAGTAAGTATCAATGGTCAGCCATTATCACAATCAGTAAGAATCAATGGTCAGTCATTATCACAATCAGTAAGTATCAATGGTCAGCCATTATCACAAATTATAAGTACCGTATCAATGGTCAGCCATTATCACAATCAGTAAGTATCAATGGTCAGCCATTATCACAATTAGTATGTATCAATGGTCAATCATTATCACAATCAGTATGCATCAATGGTCAGTCAATATCACAATCAGTAAGTACCAATGGTCAGCCATATCATAATTTGTAAGTATCAATGGTCAACCATTATCACAATCAGTAAATATCAATGGTCAGCCATTATCACAGTCAGTATGTATCAATGGTCAGCCGTTGTCACAATCGGGGACTACTGTAATACACTGTTTCATAGCTCACCTGCCCACAAAAAGGCCTGAGTGACATTATTGATGTAACTTCTTATCTGTCATCTGTTGTTCCTTGTTAAATGTTACGATAACAAATCCCTATGGGGAAAAACTGGGCTCATCTAAAAAAGTCTACTTCAGATATGAGGATTCAGCATCAAATGATATTGGAGGAACTTATAATTGGTTGCTCCATTTTAAAGGCCTCACTTTGTTTTGAGATGGAAAACTGTAATAAAAGTGTTGTTTGTTTGATTTTGTGTTTTTTAAGTTTGATTAGAGAATATTTTTATGAATTAATAATCTTTTACATTATTTAAACATGAAAATAGCATGCATTTTATGTAACTTGCAGACAATTATATAAAATCATCAAACATCTCAGTTTTGATCGCTAAACTCAGAAAATTTTCCCTTTTTTCTAGGGATTTCAACAGGTACTCAAGTACTTGAGTATTGCTCGATAGTACCGAATATCGAATACCAAAATGAATCTCGATTAATCAGTCTTCTGTAGGGACATTGTCCCCTTCTTTCCATACAGTAGAGAAAGTTCCTCTGAGAATTCTATAGCAATCACTGCAATATTCACAGTTAAAAACATTTCAAATTGTAAGCCACCCGAGAGTATCCTGTCCTATACTGGGCAGTTTACATACGAACACTCATAAAATGCAGTATCTGCTCCCCGGAGCACCTCAGTTTGTGTTTAAATATAGTTCCTCTGTTTGGTTAATGTATGTGTATTAAACGGCTTCCTTTGTATTTATTTGTTACTGTGCTATTTGTGTTGCTAACGGCTTTCCATAGTTTTTAATTTCGAACGAGCGTCCTCCAGCTCAAGTTGTTTTACCAGTGTAAATGCAAATACTTTTTGAATGTATCCAAGTTTGATAAAATAAAGTGATCTTTTCAATGCTAACAGTTTTATTTGCTGAATTGTTAAAAAAAATCATATAACATTATATGATTTTATATAAATAAACAATAGCGTTCAAGTGTACTGAATAATAAATCCTAAAATACATATTTGTGGTGTCCGACGTGGTGGGAGATAGCTTACTGTACAAAAGACGGCTATTTAAACTTCATTATGTTATCCTAATTCTCACCTAAAGGTTATTACTGCTTTATTTGGAAATTTATTGTTTTCTAGGTTCAAACTTGCCGCCAGCAAAACTTTGGGCTATCTGCCATTACTGAATGCTCACGCGTTTATATACTAAATTGTAAGTGTCACGTGACATACTAATCCAATGGTTACTTGTCCTTTCCGGGTAGCCGGAACTATACAAAATTACGATATTGAAAAACATAGAATTGAAATCATCTTGAGTTGTCCTATGATTGTCCTTATACATAAAATATTAAAACAAAGCTATAGCATCTAAAATATCGATAAAGAAGCTTGAAATAAACAATCGGACACCACTGCGCGCGCATTGATTTAGCAGACGATCTGCGTAAGAACATACAAAGTAAATAACATATAACATAGTTCATTACAACCATCTAAATATTTACAATATATTTGTGTCCGGCAGGGTATACTTATAAAATATTAAATGTGTGGTATTAAAAATGCAATATTAGATCAATTGTCCAGGGGACGAATTTGTATCAAAAGAGATAAAATCAACGTTTCATTCCCCACAAAATGGCAGACGGCAAAATCGCCGGTCAGTAAACAATTGCAGTTAAAGTATTTCCCTATGTATACCAGGCATATCAGACGTTTAAATATGAATATTTGGTTACCAGAAATGATCCTTAATACGGGAATTACATGATATATAGCATGAAGAAGGTAATCCATGAGTAATTACATACATTCCCTGCCGTAACACTTGTACACAAAAAAATGTAAACAATGATAAAATCATTTCAAATTCCAGAGCTTTCACATAAAATCAGTTGCTTTACTGGATATATATCACCTTTGTACCAACATATGTACACACCTTACTTGTAAAACTATGTTTTAGCTAATGAAATGCCTCCCCCTGTAATTTATTGGCAAAAAGTGAAACTTTGGCCTGTGAAATCCATAAAAAAATAGTAAATTAATGCCATATCTTTGATTTCAAATGTAAAATGTTTCTCTAGCTCGCTGCAAGCCAAGTTACTATGCGTAAGAACACAACCGTTAAGTTTAAAAGATAATATTTGGTAAAAACTTGAATTTTGACTTGTGATCATAGTAATAAGTATAGTGGATTACTGCGACAATTGTAAAAAATCATTATAAAATATGTGTCAGTCTTGCCACAAATTAAGTATTTACTTATAAATTACACCGCACAATTTAATACCTATTTGTTTCAGTATAACATTCCCCAGTACCTTACACTTCCCCCACCTTTAAAGACAATGAATTCTCCTGAATTGAAAATTTTAGCACATAATTATTATGAAGTTTGAGATCTAAAATGTTAGTGTTCAATGTCTTCTCCGAGTCTCAAGGGAATATCAAGAGCATCTATTCTCTTTATCACATCGTCTGTGGAGTTATCTCTCTCCTTCACTGCAGTTTCTAACATCTTTAATGTTTGTACAGTTGATGTGTCTTCTTTGTCACTCTTTATTATATAAGCCAAAGCTTGATATAAATAAAACCGAGATTTGGTTGCCATTGTGTTTTCTTCACTTCCTGTCGGTGTTTTTGTGCCTGGTAATGCTAAAAAGTGATACTTGAGTAGCAACTCTTCCTTTGTGAATTGTAATTGCTTTCCCGAGTTCAACTCCAGAGCTATACTGGCATACTCCCAATTAAAATACTTTTGCTCTGGAGTCATCTTTTTCCAATTTTTAGGTGGCCAACTAACAACTGCTGGGATGGTAATCAGTGGGATGACTTCTTCTTGATTCCACTCCCTTCTCCCAGCTGGGAAAAGTGGCATGCCACCTTTCCTCAGAAGTGTCCTTGCCCGTTCACTTGCGGTAATGTTGCTGTTTAGAGTTGTGCCCCGATCTTCTGATGCTTCCAGTTCCTTTCTTTTACTTTCTTCATTGTGTTTTTCTTCTTGTATCCTCTTTTCCTCCTTCAACCTTTCTTCTTCGTCCTGTTTCTGTTTTTCCTGCTTCCTTTGTTCTTCCTCCTTCCGTCTGATTTCCTCCTCCTGTTTCTGTTTTTCCTTTCTCTTTAGTTCTGCCTCCTTTAGTCTGACTTCCTCGTCCTGTTTTCGTTTTTCCTGCTTCTTTTGTTCTTCCTCCTTCAGTCTAATTTCCTCCTGTTTCTGTTCTTCCCTTCTCTTTTGTTCTTCCTCCTTTAGTCTCATTTCCTCATCCTGTTTTTGTTTTTCCTGCTTCCTTTGTTCTTCTTCCTTCCGTCTGATTTCCTCCTCCTGTTTCTGTTTTTCCTTTCTCTTTAGTTCTGCCTCCTTTAGTCTGACTTCCTCGTCCTGTTTTCGTTTTTCCTGCTTCTTTTGTTCTTCCTCCTTCAGTCTAATTTCCTCCTGTTTCTGTTCTTCCCTTCTCTTTTGTTCTTCCTCCTGTAGTCTCATTTCCTCATCCTGTTTTTGTTTTTCCTGCTTCCTTAGTTCTTCCTCTTTAAGTCTGATTTCCTCGTCCTGTTCCTTGTCACCCTTTCCTTGCTTTATTTTCTTAGCCTTCTGTTCCTGGTGGTTATTCTTTTTCTTTCTTTTCTCTCCATTTTTCTCTCCTTCATTCTCTGTCTTCTTACTTTTCTTCTGGCTTGTTGCTTTCTCGTTCAGAATCTCTGGTTCTTCATTGTCACTGTCATCTTCCAATATAATATCTGAGGTTGATGGTGTTTTAAGTGGTGATAACGGATTTGTGATGGCTATTGTATGTTTCCCTGGGAAGAGTTCATCGGACGTTTTTATGTCTGCTATATATTCCTCTGATATGGATAGTTTCCTAGCTACTACCGGCGTCACTATAGACTTTAATTTACCGTCTATCGAGGCTGAGAAGGTATGTGATCCTGCATACTTGGTGTTTACCAGTGCCGTCATCCTCCTTATTAAAGCATCAAGCATTTTGTGATCTCTTAGAACCAAGTCATTCAAACTTATCTGATAGAATCGTATAGACACTCCAAGGTCTAATTTGAAGATGGCTGTCGAATCCCCAAGTCCTAATGTAAGTTGCTGGAGGGCCAGCCCTTCATAAATGGTGGGGCGTGTTGGTGAATATGACCCATTGGTTTTCTCCTGCTCAACCTCTTCCTCCTGCGTACCTCTA